ACCAACCAACCAACCAACCAGCCAACCAACCAACCAACCAGCAACCAGCCAACCAACCAACCAACCAACCAGCCTACCAACCAACCAGCCAACCAACCAACCAACCAACCAACCAACCAACCAACCAACCAACCAACCAGCAACCAGCCAACCAACCAACCAGCCAACCAACCAACCAACCAACCAGCCAACCAACCAACCAACCAACCAGCCAACCAACCAGCAACCAACCAACCAACCAACCAACCAACCAACCAACCAACCAACCAACCAACCAACCAACCAACCAACCAACCAACCAACCAACCAACCAACCAACCAACCAACCAACCACTAACCAGCCAACCAACCAACCAACCAACCAACCAGCCAACCAACCAACCAGCCAGCCAACCAACCAACCAACCAACCAACCAGCAACCAACCAACCAGCCAACCAACCAACCAACCAACCAGCCAACCGTCCGACCAACCGATAAAAGTCTGCGATAACAAAACCGCTAAGCGCAGGTCCCACTGAGACGTTGCCGAGCAGGGGCCCGCGGCACCAAGCCTGGGCTTTCCATCGCTGTCAATTCAATATGTCTACGCACACGGGTGGCGTAAATGCCTTTGCCAAGATAAAATGTTTAAGGACTTGGATTGGATTAGGTGGCGGTTCAAGTTTAAGGATTTGGATTAGGTTGTCGGTTCAGTTTAGGCTCGGTTTTTGGGCTGGCGGAGGAGTGTCTCACGGTGGAAAGGCTCGGCTCTGCGAACAAATCCGAAATGGACAATTTCAAGCAGGCTATCTAAACAGGAAATACACACAAAACCGAGCTGCAAATCGACTTGCATTGGACCCTTCCCAATCACAGGCTTGAATTTTCAACTCTGTATGGAAACCAGGAATGTTTGGTTCCCTTGGTCTCAAACAGGCACCAAAATGGATCCAGCCAATTGCGGAACACCCCCAGGCCGCATTGAGGAAACGCACAGCCCGAGCTTCAGCCTATCGCACAGACCTGGTGAATGTTGGCCGTCGGTCAGGAATGAACCAGCGAACCAGTGAACTGGGAAGGGTGTCCTCAACACTGCCGAGCAAACGATCTCTGTTTAGTTGACAGGAAGCAACAAAGGAATTGCGATAAACATGGCATCTGTTCAAGGATCAAGCCTCCAATCGAACAATGATCACTAGTCATGTTGTTCTTTGCAATGCGCCGCACTTCTTGACTTCTTGACAGCCTACACATCTCTCCGAACATGTGGTCAAGGTAGTGTCACTGCTCAGGTTCTGGTTAAAGCACGGGAGATGAATGTTGTTCTGGCAAAAGGCTCGAGGTTTCAGATATTCACTCCCAATGATGAACATGCGTGCCAACACAAAGGTAGCACAGGATCAAAGTGAGAGCAATGTAACCCTCGCGTGCAACAAATAAAGCAGACTGCCACCACAAATGATGAATGCCTGGAAGACCCCATCTTTCACAGGCAAACCTAGGCCAAATTTCAGTTGTTCCAGAAAACAACAACGATTGAGTATTCGAACCAGAATTGGTGGATCCCGGCGACATTGATAGTAGCATCACGATGGTTATCCAGCTGGTTGCTTCTATCATTCTACTGCTCTCGCATTGCATACCTGCGCTTAGGTATTGGCCAATCAAAACACATCATGCCCCAACCAAGAGTAGAACGATTACCCTGGAACCGATCATGAAGAGCCTCATGATACTGCGTGGACTTCCGCAGTGGACAACAAGACATAAAGGCCTACTTCGACCGCTTTGCGTATTCAGAGATACAAATCAGCAACCTATCCAAATGGCACGAGGTCCATGCTGGTTCATGGGTGGCTAGTGCCAGGTTCATGATGGTTCATGTTCTATCCACAGTGCCCTCAGTTGCCCAAAGGACCTTGAAGCAAACGAGCAACCTGTTGGGGCCATGCCTAAAATTGGACCAAACCAGGCAAAACCACAGGTTAAAAAGGTCGATTCGCTTCAAATCCGTTTACAAAGCCCAAGTCTTGGTCTCGACTTCCAGCGGGCCGCTGTCAGGTTGGCCATGGAGGAAAGACGCCGAGCAGGCCCAGAAGCCTGGCGCTAAAGAGTAATAACAAAGATACCTGTAGAAAGCACTCTCTGGCTCTGTCCAATGGAAGTGGAAAGTCTTCCAAAAGATTGTGCACTTCCAGCTAATACTTTGAACCTTCGGCTGCAAACCTTCAAACACATGATATCGATTTGTCACACATCAAATTCACAAGGAGTGGCATTCGTTCCACTGCGCCGACTGGGGATCATGGCCGAGATCAACTCTTTAGCTCACTGAGTGACGACCATCCAGGTCTGGAAACCTGCCTCGAGCTTTTCCTCTTTGGTTTCCATTCAAAAGGGCTGTTCAGAAGAGACACCTCCCTCCGTAAGCGCCTTTTTTTGCTGGTGGACAAAACGGTGCTTTTTTCCCCAAGGTGAAATCATGACTCGCGCCCGCCTGCGCGAGCTCGTCCGCATCTGAGTCCTCGGTCCTGGCACAAACACAAACCTATCGGGCATGGGTGATATCTCCTGAAAACGAAACCGGAAGTCGGAAGTCCCCACGGGGCCACAAACAAATGATCACACACACACACACATGCTCGCATGCAGACGTGCGCATACATACAACTTGTGACTCCCAAATCTTGCCAACTACATCAAATCTGTGTTTCCTCGATGCATTGTCGAATGATTGTTGAAACGCGGCCAGCTAGCAACTGCCCTTCGGGCCACGTTGCCCATAGCAGCTGCTGGCGCTATGCCTCCCTTGTTCAGAGGGAATGGTTCCAACTTCAGCGCTTGGGAAGCGGCAACGCGATACATTGCTTCGATAGATCACACATTGCTTCAATTCTCCACTTTTTGATGTTCACAAGCGCTGGTCATGAGACCAGCTCAACATAAGCCTGCCTGAGCAGGCGTGCTTGGTCGCTGTCGTCGGAGATATTGACGCCTTCCGTCATGGATGACACCTCGGCACTTAAAGCAAGAGAGACGGGTCTGTGAACAACTGAGTTGGGCTGAAGGGGAACACAAAAGAACAATGGCCGAGCAAACCAGCACAGGCTTTGGATCGTCAATGGTGCACAAGTCATGTACGTTAATACAAATTCGTGTGTTTGAAGAATGTTCTTTAGTTGCTTTTCCAGCAAGTGCCACCATATCTTACGGTATGGTGAATGATGTGTGCAAGCAAGTCCAATCATTTGAGTAACCTAGACTCTAGGCCAGCGCAAAAATATGGATACCAGTTGGATTTCCAGTCTGGCTTCAGAATTTCCAGGGTTTAGAAATGGGTTGACCGCTGCGCGCCCTGAGAAAAACTCGTTCTGAGATCCTCCCCGACAATTCCGTCACAAGTCACCAATGCAAACAAGCCAACTGCGAGACAATCGCAGATTCTCTGAGTTCATGGTCAACACATGGGTCGATCTCTCCAAACAAACAACCCCTTTTGGGATTGGTTTAAGAACCCAACGAATAGACCAGCCACCTGAAGGGGTCCGAATTTTTGCATCTGTCCACAGTACACGTTAAGCTCGCGGCCTCGAGCTGCCCGAAGTCCTGACGGTGTGGCTTCTGCGGGATATGGGCGCGTCTTTTTTGAGTTGGTACCCCTGGTGGGCTTTTAAAGGGAAGCCAAAAGGAAAACCAACTTGCGTTTCTGCTGAAAAGTGACACACCCGTGTACAATCTCTTGATGGCCCCTGTAAGAGAAGTGTTTTGCCCGTTTTCCCCGGGAGGCAGTGGGCTGGGGGTAGTGGAAACCATCTTAGAGCCTACGTAAGCCGACATGCCGCCACTGTCAGATCAGCCTATTCGGAACGATTCCGATCTTTCACATTTCAAGTGACGATTCCGGTTGGACTATGCCATATAGGACACATATATCACCCATCCGAAAGAATGACTAACTCGCTCTAGCCGCAGCACCGCTGATGAAATGAAGCAAGCTGGGTTCTCCTCTGGCATGTGTCCAGCCCAGGTGTCTCAGCAGCAATACGTTGCCGGGTACCAACCCAACTACTGCATGCTATCCACATGCAATGTAAACAAGCATACACTTCACATCTGGGCTAGGCCCCAAATATACCCTTTCTGTACCAAATACCCATATCATCTATGGCTCATGAGTATTTATATACACATATATATATATATGTATGTATATGTATATATATATATATATTATTGTATAGTATATTATCAGTGGCGCCTATTGCATACCTATATGGACGGGGTTTTCAAATTATGTTTCCCGCCAAACAACAATGCAATCTAGGATCCAGGATTTAAATGCCGGTATCTAGATTTCAGGGGATATTCATGGATTCAAGATTTCCCCTCAAAGTCCCCCAGCAATCTTGGATCCAGGACCTGCATATCGGTAGACATTTCAATCCAGCATCTATATTTTTTGGTGGGAGGCATTAATGGATCCAAGGTTGCTCGCAAAAATCCTCAGAAATCCAGGATCTTGGATCTAAATTCTGTTTTGAACAAGTTAGATTCAGGGGTCATAAATTCAGGGCGCACATCGACAAATGTGTGTCACACTCATTTGCATGGGCAAGCTTCAGTCTTTAGTATCCTTCATTTTCTGGAGTCTGGATTTTGCAAGAGTCTTTTCTGGAAAGTTGTGACTATTGAATCGAGGAAAGATGCGTTGCATGTACTAAGTTCCTTTGTTGGTCCGGTTTCTGCATTTGTTCCGGGGTGTGACATGTGTGCATCTTGCTTGGAACGATTGTGCTCTCTTATTGTTGCAATGGAATTGCAAAAAACAGGGTAAACGGGCTTCATGTCACTCTAGTCTTAAACTGATTCTATGTCTTTTTTGGGGGGAGTCAAGACTTTGGAGAAAGCTTGTTGGGGCAATGGTGAATCTTGAATCCAACAAAGTGCGTTTAATGCCTTGCAAGCCTACGCATCTCTGATTAAGTCTCCACAAATAGTTTAAGCACTACAGCCTGTCTGGTCAAGCAAAGCAAAACGGCGGCAACTGATGCACAACTGGGCAAAACTCTACAGCCTGTGCGCTCAAATCAAGCAACATGGGAGCAGCGGAGAAGGGGGGTCGGAGTAGGAAATATATATATATATATATCATACATGTATGCTTCTCTGTGACTTCCATATTATTAAGTTAAGAGGAGCACCGGGGCGGGGCATTGCGCCCGGCTCAACTCGATCGAAGGCCCAAAGCTTCGGCCTGGACGATCAAGGCTGAGGCGTCCACCCCGATTGCCACCAGCTGAGTCGACAGCTGAGCCTGGGATGTGTGCTGCGCCCCTCCGGCGGGGGGGGGGGGGGTGTTGAAAATCGACCAAGGGTGCTCTCCAAAAAAAACACACAGGGGTCCCAGATTTCTAGACAAGCCCACCTTTCCGCGCGGGCTTCGCAAAAAGGTCAGGTTCTTGCTGACTGACAAGGGCGTCTTTTTGAAGGGTATCCCTTCTTGTGGATTTCATGAACACCAAAAGGAATAGCACAACACAGCTCTTGGGGTCCCCCCAAAAAAAGCAACACCCACATCGAACAGACAAGCCCAGCGCTTTAGCCTCAGCGAAAGTACAGTTTCCACTTGCCAAGAACTCAAGCCACCCTGTTGGCATATAGACAAACGCCTCGAATCTTCACTTCAAAAGTCAACAATCGCGAGACTCAGTGCGTCAGTGTGTGTGTGTGCGTACTTGCTGCTCAACCTATGTTGCCGACAGAAATGGCGGAAGTAGATTTGACAACAACTGAAGGAATTGGGAAACCACCCCCTAACTAGGGTGCTCTCCACACCTTTTCTTGGAAGAATCCATCCACATCCTTCTCAACTCAACCATAGCCCACCATGAACCCACACTGTAAGCTCACCGAGCATCGGCGAAGATCGCGGGATCAGTGTTCAAGGAGTTGCTGACAGCACCGGCGGAGGCTGCAGTGGCCGCGTCAACATACGCCTTGCCACAGGCCAACAGGCCCAATTCAGCAATAAGGATCCCACAATTGGGCAGGTGTCAAAATTGGGGGACCCCTCAAAATGGTGGGGTTCCTTTTGGTTTCCCTTTAAACCAAGCTTTACAAGTGTATCCTCAGAAAACACACACACACACAATCAGTTTCCAAACTTGCTACGTGGCAGGCGACAAATAGCAAGGCATCACCCTATTCCGTATTCGCCTCGAAAGGCTCACTTGCTACTATGCTGGCACTCACTGGCCAAAGGCTGTCCTGCAAAACCGCTGTTGGCTACCGGTATTGTTTTCGGCGCGGTTGACTATTGTAGAAGAAACGTGTCCGGAATCATAAACTTACCTGGGCCCTCCTGTGGTCGAAGCAAAGTCGGGAGGATGCTAAAACCATCCCCAAAATCACAGGGCCGTTCCTACCAATCCCTGGTAAGTTGCAGTACTCACATCTTAAGTTGCTTGGCCGACAAAAGACCAGGACTTCGGGCAGTGGGTCTCCCAAACAAACAACCATCTACCTGGCGTCTCCATGACCCTTTAACAGGGAGTCAAGACCCTATAATTTGGGGCATGACAACTTTTGAGTTGTGACCCCACTTTGTAAGAAGGTCGGGTATGTAGCTATTTACTTTTGGCAAACGAAGCATGGCCAGAATATGACCTCCTCGCGCGCCTGGTAGGTCACCCGCCAGCTGGTGGCCAAGCGCCGGCTCGGGTCATCCGCGAGGCGGCGACTGGAGGTGACGGTGACCACAAGGCTGGAGTGGGGGATGCCCAGCGCCTGCGCCAGGGCGGCCTTCATCGCCTCGGATCAACTGCTACGAAGCCTCTCCGTGAGACAACGAGTCACCAATTTGAAATAGACCCCAAGAGAGGTCCCCTTAGTGTGATCCCTGGATACCCAAGGTCTTGTGACCACATACTTGGCAGCATGTCGCAAACGTATGTCCCCTCAACCGAGCTCAACAAATGTCTGGCCAAAAGTGCCTGAGTATTGGGGCCTGCAAGGCTTTTGGAGGCTCCACTTTAATCTTTAAGTGCATATACAACGATAAACATGATCGACATGTGTCTGCTATGGCGAGCCATTGAAGCCAGCTTGCTGCAAACGGCAGCTATCTGAGCACGGTTCGCTTGACCCGTGCCCGCATTGTGCAGCACTTGGGTCAACGAAGAGTCAGAAAGTAAAACAGAAAGCCGGCTGAGTATCCGGATTGTCAGCAGTAGACCAGGCGCAAACATCTCATTAATTAGTTGTCAACTCGGCCACCAATTCTGACATGCTTTTCCTTGCACCCAGTGAATGGGACCGCATGTTGGCCGTTTGCCGTGAAAGATCATGAACATCCACAAGCATGGCTTGTGCCATCAGGGATATTTCACCACAAATCTGGTGTCAAACTACCCCTCGACCCCATCCTGATTTTCGTGTCCCTTCACTCCCCTGCAAACCTGGAACCCAACAAAAGAAGCCGCAAAAAGAGGATTCCCCACACACCAACCTCGAGAAATGTGTGGGTTCCAAAAACCCCAATTTGAGCAGATTCCCAGAAGAACATCGACATCTTCGGGCTCCAAATCCCTTCCGCGGCCAAACGCGCCGCATCGCCGGTAGGGGCCAGGTGGCCACCGCCAGCTGCTGGGCGCTGACGCCCGCCAGGCTCACGGAGACGGTGCCGGAGATGGGCACCGAGCCCAGAGAAGAGCTGGCGCAAAGGCCCAGACCCAAGGCGTCCTGTCGCAAAGGTCCTCAAATTATGAGCTTTCCGCATGGATTTCGGAGCAACTACTGCAAAATCAAACTGGATTTCGGACCAACTATTGCAAAATCAAACTGGATTTCGGACCAATTATTGCAAAATCAAACTGGATTTCGGAGCCAATGTTTCTCGTGGACTTCGCAGCTTTTGAGTCACAACAGCCACTGCTCTTATACACAAACAAATGCCCTTCCTCTTTCAGAGACCCAACCGTTAAGGCCTTGGCATTGGCTGGTGGCCTTTATTGACTTGTTTCCCGTTAAGGCTGGACAACTCCGCTGACAACCCCGCTGTGCCAACGCGTCCTCCAGAGGCAAGGCTTGGTACACGAAGTAGGCCAGCACAAAGTCCTGATCCTCAGGCTCCGCCCAGGTCAAGGTGCCACCCAGGTCGTCAAAGTCCAAGTCGAAATCCGGGAAGGACCTGTCCAATCGAAGGACCGTCTGGTACACTCGCAAAAGCCATCACACACACACACACACTCCCATCGCCATCCATGGGTATCATGTCCCACTCCAAAAGACTCCCCTTTCCGTTTTCTGATCTAAGATGGTGTCCATTTTCCCCAGACGAAACTACCCAGGAGAAAAAACCGGGTGAATAATTACCCATTGTCAAGGCTGAACAAAAAGTGCAACCTTCCATCAAACCTCGTTTACTTGAAGTGTTACCCTTTGAGAGGCATCCACCGTAGCTTCGGTTTGGGGTCAACACCATCGCTCGGTTGCTCTCTGCTCCCCCGCAAAAAGTTTAACTTTTAGTGGTTTAATGGAAAACCCATTAGTTGGCAAAAAGTTCAAGTCCTGACATCCCTTGGCAAAATGCACCAAAGATCGGTCTGAGGCACAGGTTGAAGGCCACGGAGAAAGTATCCGAGATCTCGACAAAGGCCGGCGTGGATTGCTCGCTCAGGCTGGAGGCGGTGTACACGTGCAGGGCCTTGCGAAAAGTTCAGCGACTTAGTGTTTTGGACCTTGACCTGACATGAAACCAACAAGGGATGGCAAGAATGGTCATTGGGTGAAAGTACATGGCATCATTCCAAATCCCGTTTGGAAAATGAACCATCTACTTCCATTCTGGTGTAAGCTTCTGGCATCATGACATGGAACCGAAAAGGGAACCCAAAGGGAAAAGGTCGGCTCTGGACAACTGAGGGCAGGGGTCACTGGATGTCCCGCTCGAACGTTGCAGTTTGCTGGTGGGTTCCAACAAATCGCCTTTGAATGTCACAACACCCCTGCATCAATCGGAACAAACCTGAAAAAAGGAATCCCCACACACCCACTACCTGCTCCCTTCCTGAGTGAATTGGCAAAAACAAGTTAAACAATGAAGGCACTTAGTAACCAGGTCACATCCATGGATCTAGTTGGAACAAGAGGTTGGCTCCTTATGACCATGGCTGTAAACAGTCACTTTAACCTACCAAGTGGCTTGAACATCAAGTTTGCGTGTTTTGTTTGTTCCCAATTTGAGCGCCCCCAAGCATCCTCCAAAGCCCCCCGCCTGAACCTGGCCGCGCGGGGTACCGGCGGGCAAGTCCATGGCAGCCATTGGAGGAAGGGCGGCCAAACTCGAGGCGCTTCCGCTGAAGTCCTCGCGAGTCTCGTTGGACCCACAGCGATCCACAGGATGTCTCCAGATTTCCTCGTTCCCCGTTTGGTTTCGCCGGATACCTAGTCTAAACAGGAGAACTCAAGAATTGCTGGTGGCCCTGTTGGTCAACCAAAAACGCCACAAGCGCACCGAGCCTCGAAAAGGACAGACACAATTTGATCCCCTGCTAAAAATCCAACTTGCTGTTGGTTCTGCCGGGGAAGCCAACTGGTTGCCTTTAGCTTTGCGTCGTCACCCTAAGGTGCCCTAAACCATGACCAAGGCCATGTCCTAGAGCTCATTTGACCCCAGAATGGTTGTCAGAATACTAACCCCTAAGGTTCTAAGAACCTTTCCTGGGTGGGCCTTCCGGTTGCTTAACCAAGAGCAACACTGAGTTGGCATGCAAAGCCAATAGGTACACTTGAACACCAATCCGAACAGCCTTTTGGTTCAGATTAAAAGGCATTTTGAGGTGTCCAGTCACTCTCCTAGTGTTGACGCTCGAAAGCTGTGTCGTTTTTTGGGGGACCTGGCTGTAGCTCAAATTGAGACTCAGCCGAGTCCCCAAATAAAACATCTTCTGTAAAAGAGCAACCTCCCGTCCCAACCCACCAATTTGTGAAGGCGTTGTTTGAGCCGAAACAAAAACACCCACACACACACACACACCATAGATTTGGTGCAACATGCTGGTAGGTTATCAAGTAAAACTAACTCAGCGCCCCAGTTCGCAGACACAAAACAAACAAAACAAAACAACGCGGTGGTTCATTCTGAGCCGCACCCACCGATCCGAAAACAGGCCGAAGGCTCTACAAAGTAGAGCCGGTATTGCTCCACGCGCTCGCTGCCAAAGCCTCTCGGCTCCACCTGGATCGGGCAGGTGGTTGGCTTTCCGTTACACATCCAGTTGAATATCAGCCAATGTTTTTGGGGGGGGCCTGAGTTTCATGCAGTTGGTTGGATGTCAAATGGGCTTCGAAACCCTATTGCCGGTTGCACAGCGCTTTGATTCTTTTCCTCCAGAGTTCAGTTTGCCTCAGGTCAAAGAACGGCTTAATTCGGCGAGCTTACGCGCACCTTGCCGGTCCGCTTGCGCACCTGCCTTGCCGACCCCCTGAGTTTTGCTGAGCCTGCTGTGTGATAAGCCTTTTGCTATCTTGGACAGAATTCCGAGATCACAGCTGCGCAAACTCAGGTGATGGCTCTTTTTTGGCAGCAAGCAGAATCAAAGGGATGCGCCTTCAACAACTTTCGCAAGCGGTCCCGAAGCAAAGCTTATGCGCGTGCCTTCTGCAGCATGATTCTCCCCAAAAAATATCGCCCGCTTGCGACCCTCCGGGTTTTGCTTACGTGGGGCCTTCCTATGAAACAACTCTTGCTTGACATGAACCACCAAAAATGTAACTTATATCCTCCCCTCCTAATTTCGGTGATTAAGGGGGTTTTTTGATTGATCAATGGGAGGGGGGTTGCACGGCCCCAAACCTCTGCATGTCCGTCTTGGAGATTTGCTGGCTAGGTCCCAGAACCGAGCACTCAACATGTTGGCTACAAACTCGCCAAGTGCGGTGGCTTGCTGTCATCAATCAACTACACGATGCTTGTCACGAGCAACATTTCGAACAACCCCAAAAGGCGGTTCAAAAAACCGAGATCAGTGACGATTTCTTCCATCACATCCCCTTTCCAAAACCTCATCCCTCAACCTAAAAGTGGAAGAAGCAACAAACACCAGGGAAAACAAACACCGGCACCATCAGAAGGATACTTTGTTCAACAAAAACCAACAAAACAGGCACCATCGGCCACAATTTCTAGTTTTCAACCAGGAACTTTCGATCCGCCCCCTCCGCTGACTCTGGACTTAGGCGCCCAGGAGATAGCGCCCCCCAGCTCGTCCAGGTCCAGGTCCTCATCCCCCAGGTAGACATTCGAGGCGCTGGCCTCAAAAATAGCTCGTTTTTCAGGCCGAGCGTTAAGCGGACCGAAAGGAAAAACCGAAGCCATTTTGGGGTAAATAAACACACACCGTGAACCCATGTGGTATATATATATACCCTGGGGCGGTCTTTTGCCAGCCGTATTCTTGTCTAAGCTCATTGAACAATTCAGGTGCCGCACGTGCTCAGGACCAAAGTGTGCACAAGACTTGACCTCCATTCCAACAAAACAAGCGAAAGGGATTGCCAAAGGACTGGCTGCAACACATAGATTCTCCGGTGTCACAATTCACGGCAGAAAACGTGCTTTCACGCATGATCACAAGCTTTCACGCCAATTTCACGGTATTTTCACGGTGATTTCACGCTACTTTGGCGTGGACTACGTTCATACCAAAACTGTCTTGTGTCAAGCCATGTTGGGGTGGAGCTAGCACTGTGGAATCTGCATCAAATAGCACGCCATGGCTCATTGCAACGCAAAACAAAAAAAAGGCTTTAGCTGCAAAAAACAGGCGAGGTGCAAAGGACGTTAACCAAAAAAAACAGTCGTGGATTCTCAGGGTATATAAGGTATATGTGTGTATATATACATATATATATATATGTCAAAGGGGGACCCCAACAGTTGATCTCCTTGGGGTGTCTCCTGAAAGGCGAAAAGGGATCGACAAGGGTAACCTCCAAAACACATACACAAACATATGTCCCGAGTACCCTAAGAGCACTTCCATGTCCTCAAAGGGAGAATTATTTTTGTGACTTGCGGGGATTCCAAGTTGAACCATTGTTGCTCTTCCAACCAAACATGGGCTTCAACATAAACTGAAATTGGGGAGAACAACTCGTGCTTGCTCCACGTGTCTTCCTTGTGCAAAATTGGAAGCATGCGGAACTGATCGTTTGGCCTGCCACTCGGAAGCTCATCCTACCCTCTCCTTTCAAGAATTGCCGCTTGGTAAGTTGGTCACTTGCGCAGATGCTTTTCGGATGCAGTCTTTAGGTTTGAAGGTGTGCAAGCTTGCCTTGAGTGTGCAACTGGGCCATGTTTCTTGCGATTGTCATTAGTTTTCTCGGATGATCAACAGAAAACGGGGTTAGCTTGTGCATGCCCAGCGTAATGCAGGTTCAGGCAATATTTGGAAATGTGTGATTCTCTACAAGTAAATTGAAACTAGGATCCTGTTGAACTGGCCAACAACACATCCACATTTATTGTTTGGCGTTAAACTTGTCTTTCCAAAAGTATCAACTCCAAGAAGTCAGAGACTGAGATATCATGGCTGATAGATGGTCGACGTTGCCGGATGTCAGGGATAACCCTCGATCTGCAGACAGGGGCCATCCCGGCTCCGCCTGCGAAAGGGTTGCTACACTTGGGTCCACAGCTCAAAGGACCCGGAGTGCCCTTGAGCAAAGGGGGACACAAAGACGTCCCCTTTTGAACCCTCAAACAAGGGGAGCCCCCACTCGGTCATAGCGGCATCTACATCCTCGATGATCAACGACGCCGCCATGGTTGATTCAGCCTCAAGGCAGCGAAAGGCTACAAATCTGGTACTCTTAAGGGAACCAATCCCTGTTCATCCAGTGGTTGCAAAGTTGCAACCTTAGTGGCGACCCTTGATATAAGGTCTACCCAGGCTATTGTTAGGTCCAGAGGTTGATTCCCCCTACCTTTCAAGAACTTGTCGTTTCCCCATGTTCGGTTGACTTCTGGAAAGATGGATCGCTGGCAACAATTCGGATATGTTGGAGAGTAGACAAGAATCATGCCGGTAAACATGCTTGGCCGATCTTGGCCGCACCTGCTACAGACCCACACACCGAACAAGTCAGGAAAAAGCACTGGGACATACCAGCTGTTCCCAGTTTGGGTAAAGCAACACAAGTCGCGGCACAGCAATAGCGCCTGTCAAAATTGTTTCAAAGGGCGTGATGATAGCATCTATTCCAAAGTGGTCCAAGTGGGTTTGTCTCCAAAGCAGTAGACTCCCCAACAAAAAGGGTCGTTTTCCGCTTAAACAACCTCACAAAAGGTACCGAGCCTTGACGAACAAACATACCCACATCTCCAAGTTCCCATGGACTTCAACCACATCGCACTTGGAAGACCATTGAAACCCTCCACTTACTGAGTGCCTTGGTCAAAAACATGCCCAAATGTGTTGGTTGCCCACAGCCATGGCCCAAGTTCGACAAGTAGCTGCGCTGGATCGCGTGAAAACGGCGAAATGCGTGAAATTCCCCAGCGCCGTCTCTGGCGGCAGCACCAAAGTAGTGGTGCCAGCTGTCACCTCACCATCTGTTTAAGCACAAATTATTAATGCTTGACTTCCTTGCAAGTTAATATAAATCGCTCATTTGCCAAAAGAAGTTTCCGCTGCAAACCATGGCTTCCCGGGATTGCACGTTCATCGTGCAAGTCAAGGGCATTTTCAGGTGTGGGAATAGGGCGGTCGAGGTTGCAGAAATTACTTGCTTTTGCTCAGGGTAAAATATACTGCATAACATGCCCTTATTAGTGAGGAGTCAGCAAAACCTTTAGCATCACATCCCACAGAACCGGAACTTCGTAATGTGAAAGTAGAGAGAGAGAGAGAGCAAGGCTCCCTCAGAATTGTACTGAACTCAATAAAACCAAAACGACAATTGCGGCCTGATTGTAAGTGAAGCTGGAATCAAAGCTTCTGCCGTATTTGTGTGCGACAACACCAGCTTGACAACACTCAACCCTGTGGATGAAGGTGCACTTGAGAGGCAGGGCTGCAAACTGACCATGTCTATCTATGCAACATAAGCAGCATACATGCGACACGCAGTCAAAGCTGCATACACGTGACATGTCTGACACGACGTCTCTCATTCTCAGCAGTGAATCGAAACAGCTCAAAGACAAGGCACGTTGCCGAAGTACTCCAAGTTGCAGAGATACACCCAGGTCCTTTGTAGAGACTGACGCGAGATTGAATGCTGTCAAGCAGTGCTTAAATACTTAGACTTGACCATGACATCAAAGTAAGTGGTCATGGGGAAATATAAATACTATTTCTGTCAGCCCTTATCAACTCCTAGACGACGCACAGCAAGAAACCTTGCTCCATGTGCAGGTCTCGCATCAGTACAATATGTAAGCTTTGCTTTTAGCCTATCTATAACGATTTGGTTACAGCAACGTTTCTGATCCATGCGGATGCGGGCTGATGCAAAGCCGCAACCACTTCGAGCCAACCTACAGGCGTTTATGTGGCCAAAAACCAATCTAGAGTATCCGCAAAAGCTTTCGCTATGCCTTTTCATGTTTGAGAAGCAATGGGACCCACAGGAAAAAAGGACTGACAAGTATGACACATGTCGTAAGGGTAACAAGGCACAACCTAAATGGGGAGATTGTGCACCCATAGGAAACAGTTAGGCACAAACACATAAAAACATGAACTGTTCCAAGCGTCTCATCAGCGAGGGACTCTACGCTGAGCCGCCGTGATGACATATTACCATCGCTAGCGTCGCTGTCTTGAATGTACCTGCAGCGAGCAGAGTCCATCTCTGGAAAACCAAACTAGCCAGAGGCCAGGTATCATGTGGATTGATGGTTGAAAGAGACCAAGGCTCAGCAAGAAATAACATTCGTAGTTTGTCAAACAACAAGCGATCACCATTCTTTGTTCAAGCTTTGCAAACAACTCTTGAGATTGGGGCGCCTTCTAATAGTTGATTTCCTCACATTCTGGCTCGTTTCTGAAAGCCGTAGGGTACGAGGTGGAACTTCTGGGAGCCTTTCGCATTCAGGAATCGTCGAACGCACGCTCAAAAGGCCGGCACAGGTCGCCTTCCCATGTCCGGGGATTACCTCTGAAATTCTGAAATCCATTCCACTGGGGCATGAGGAAACTGCTGCCTTGCATTGGCTTTGCCCCTTGCCTCAAGTCAGGCGGAGCAAATTGAGGCCACAACTTGTGGCCCACATTTCGGCAGGCGTCCGATTTGCAGGTGTGGCATAAGATGGCACTGGTCAACGAACCAAACTGAAACCAGTGGAGTCCGTCTATGTTCGACCAAATTGACCTAAACTCTTTCTGGTGAGTGGGACAACACACATTTTCCCAACAAGTGAAAAGCAAAACGATCCCAGACCGAATACCCAGTTTCCAAATCTGATGGAAGTGCACAGAGTTTTGGAAGACCACCATCTTAAACGGCCTCGTGCCCACTTACATGAATTTCAACAGGGGCAGACCCTGCAACTGAAAGGGACATCTACCGACACCGTCTAGCAATGGATTGCAGCGGCAAGCACTTGGCTTGGACTTGGGAAACACCAAGCCTTGTGCCATTTCATGGAGTCCAAAACCGGAAGCATCGCCTGGGTAAGGCTCAGTCAGACCTGTGAACTCGTATGGGAAAAAAGTGAAACTATCACCATTTCTGGTGTCTTTCCTTTCGGGGGCCCACCCCCCCAAGCCCCCCCCTTCGCCCCAACGGAAAAACCGTTGAACAAAAAGCAAGCAGGTGGGGTGGAGCCTCCATTAGTTGCACCGGTCGTGTCGTGTCGCTTTTGCGGCGGGGCGCCGGAAGGACACGGCGCTGCCGTTGAAGAGCCCCGTCCAAGGCAGCAGCTCGGGCAAAGAGTTCACCGCCACGGAGCTGAGGGAGATGGATCCAAACTCCACCAGCACCTGAAACAAAGCAGCGCGCGCATGCAGGGGCTCCCTACATGTGTCGGTCAAGAAAATACCACCAAGAGGAAACGCAGGTTAAAACGGCAAAAAGGAGATGCGTAAACCTACAAAGATTTCGGGACCCCCGTTGACTTTGGGCTCTATGGTCATGCATGGCTCATAGAGGCCTTACTGCAAACCCCATGAAACCAGGCATTACAACCAGCTAATTACCAAGATGGCCAAAGGAGTTTTGGGCGATGCTGCTATGGTCAGCCGGGAATTTCAACTTAGTGGGTTTGGGAATGAATCTAGGAATCCTCCAGGAAGACACCAGTTGAATGAGTCAGTTTGGGGTAATCCAGCTGGGCAAACTGTTATATACTCCAGGTGGAACTAAGGAACTCTGCTTATTTTAATTTGCCCAGACCCATGGTACAGCACATCAACTATCCTTGATACCACGTGCAATGGAAAAGCTGTTGATCTAGTCGATGGGGTCTGTAAACCCAAAACATGTAGGTTTCTCTTTGGTAACGTGGAACTCTCACAAGACCCACTTCCACTTCGGTTTTGACTCCTCCAGCTATTTATCTAAAGTTCAACCCTCTGACGAACCGGGACATTGGCTCCGTCTGCCACTTGACCCGAACACAGAAGTGAAGATGCTCATGTGTCTCAAAATGCCTGACTTATCCCAACTGCAACGACGTCCTTCTGATATTCCTTGAAGGCTTCGATTCAATGCTGACTCCGGATAACACACCCGTCCTATTGTGACGGTGTTGGCCCGGCATGTGGTCTAGCAAGCAATCAACATGAGCTTGCTCAGAAGTCAACAAGTGGTGCGGATTTCCACTAAGAGGGAACATGTATCCTATTCTAATTCGGGGTTGTTGGCCCAGCAAGTGGTCCGGATTTCCACTAAGATCCCCTAAGAGTGAACATGTCAATCAACCAGGTTTCTTCATCCGTGGGTTGCAATTGTTGTGCTCCTCTCTCATGCAGCTGGGCCGCCAAGGTGGCGGCCACATCGCCTGGCGTGTGAACTATCCCCACACATGCTGACAAAATCCTGCTGAGCTTGGGATGAACCGGACAAATAACAAAACATATCTATGATATACATATACATAATATAATATGCATATATATATATATATATGATAAATATATATATATATATATACTTATATACATATCGGATTTCCATCAGCATCCCCAAGGCTGTCGAGCTGCCAATAAACGGCCGCCAACTGGAATAATTCAGGCAACATGGGGAGCAACCAGACCCAGTAAACAAAAAGTGGGGCCATTAGCAATGCAACAGTTGGTACGGCATCCAGTGAAAGAATCTATTTCCGAGCGAACACGTGAGGTTCTGCCTGCACTGTGCAAGTGGGGATTGTGTTGTTTGCCGCTTGCCAGGAAGTCGCGCACTTCCAACGAATGAAATACTTTGACAAATGTGGCTTCCCTGACCCCTCTGCACTCCCCTTGAGGAAGACTGATACTTCCAAGCCATAACAGTTTCCCCTACCGACCAATTGCGAGCAACTGACAAATCAACGCCGTACTGCCCTCCCTGGGACCTCCGATGAGACTCAAAAGCGCCCCCTGATACGCCACACGGCCGGAAACGTGCGTGCCAAACAGGCGGTGATCGTGAGGACTCCACAGGGATCCTTACATTATACACCTGAGCATTGCCTTGTAAATGGTGGTCTCCCTGTATTTTGGTGGGGAAAGCCATGTTTCGAATGGGCAAAATGTATGTTTTAAGGAGCCCTGCTCCATTTGCAAAGATCCACACAACGGGTCCAGGCGCAATTTGGCCGAGCGGCCGGACACGCCTTGCGCCTGCAGCTGCACGCTCAACTTCGCCACCAAGGCGGTGCCGCTGCTCTGCTGCGCGGCACGTGCCGTGGCCATTGAGGGCACCAGCACCTGCGAACGGGCGGCAAGCCCAAAAAGTTAAAGTCTAAACATCCAACCCAATTGCAGTCAAGCTTTGGCCGAGTGGAAGACGGCTCCGGTTTGAGGGAGCGGTTTGATTGATTCGGGTGGTTTTCTTGCTCATGTTCTCTTTGTCGGCTGAACAGATGGGGTCAGCCCAAAGTGCATCGCCTCAGAGAAGCAACATCATCCAGCACAATCCAACCACTGCTTAATGGTCCAAAATCCACTCTCCTCTCAGCACTTGTCGGACAAATTGCTATTCGTTCCGGCGGTGTCTGTTCTCTGGGGAATACCCTGGCAATCTGGACCAGCTCCTAAGAAATGCGGGCGATAGATACGAACCAATGTGTTAATTGGAGACCGCATCACACAATTACGTTCTGATGCTGAACGAGTGAACAAGGCATGCGCTGCTCAGATTCACCACACCAACTGCGACCCACTTTCCCGCCTTGACAAAAGTAGCGGCACCACACAAAACGACCGCACTGAAGGGCCATGATATATATATATATATCCTGCGATTTCAACCTGGCAGAACTTCCCTTAAACCAATTGCCAATTGGATAACAATTGAGCAGCGCCCCCAACGGTTCTAAAGGTATGTTGCAGGCTTTATCATCCCACTTCAACCAGTTGAGAGAACCTCCCAACAAATGGCCAAAAAGTTGTCTTGGGCGCCCGACGGTTGGCCAGGCTGTCTGTTAGTCCAACTGGCACGTCTTGACATCTCCCTCTCCAATGCTGCACAAAGAACCTCCCGAGACAATGGTCCTTGTAGAGAGCTTTTGAGGTTCCATATTTCAGCAGGCAACTCGAACCCATCCAATTCCTTTGCAGGTTTGATGGAAACACAAGTCAGTCATCCAGGAACCTCCAGTCAGGTTTCATGTCCGCACTTCTTGAACACAAGTCAAACACCTGCATGACAGCCGCTGGGGGAACCATGAAGGGGAAAGGATCCACCAAACATCTGCCTCGAAATTGGGCCACCAACATGAGTCCCTCCAAAAGTGATGAATCCCCTCTAAATGGGAAACCCTCCCCTTAATCAACCAGGGCTTTATCTTCATCTGGGGTTCCCAAAAAGTGTCCAAACCGATCCGAAGACCTTGAGCTATCGCCTGATAGGTGACCAGCCACGTGCTTGAAGCCAAGCGCCGCGCCTGCCAACGAAGCTGACCAAGGGGGTGTTCCCTCAAAGGGGCGCCATCTGGGCGAGGGGGGGGGATCGGGAGTTGTCCATGGGGGCAGAAACCGTTCGGCTTCAGAGTGCAAGCAAACTCACGCACCAGTTGGTAGGTGGTTGATCCCAGGAATCCTGTAGCTTCATCGATCCCACCTGGTGCAGGAGTTTTTGTCCATCCACAGCAGCTACTTTGAGGGACCCAGCAAACCGGGCCACCGGGCCCAGTCCGAGCGCGCTAAAAGGCAGGTAATTGGGCCTATTGGGTGGCAAAAAGGCGCCTGCAGGACTCAGAGAATTGAACCAAGGTTCAGGTTAAGGGACCTTGTCCCCAAAATCAGGGGTCCCCAACAACGTTAGGCAAACTCACCTTTGACCTTTGGACCGACAGAAACTCTGCCATGTGTGAAACCACACGAAACATGGGGACCCGAGGAACCCCAAAGAGGCTCGCCTCTCCCTGCAGCCGCCGAGCGCTGGCCGAGCTCAGCGAGATGGTCACGTCCCCAGGCGAAGCGCCGAACCTAAGTTCGACCCCGGCAAGAAGCGGCGGCCTTGTGGAGGTGATGTATACAAGGGACGAAAATATTCTCAAATTTTGGGACTTGGAGCTTGGGCATGGGAAAGACGACGGCTTTTTGGTACGAGGGGTTTTGGAGGTGGCAAGCAGTTGGCAGGGAGGTGTTGTGTTGGGAACACATAATAGATTCTGACAGGAAAGAGCCGTTTCGAGCTGAATTCAAGGATTTGACATCCCGACAAGGGAAACAACTCTATACACATCCGGCCAACATGTATGGATCTAAATCAGCCCTGGGGGGGTGGAAATGCGCCCACTTTCAAAGGCATAGATGTCCCGACTGTGTGCAGCTCGCGATCTGTGATTCACAGCGGGAGCTGCTTTTCAATCCACACACATCATGCATAACACTACCGGTTCTTTGAAGCTCATCACTACCAGCTCTATGATATTCATCTGGTGCTGATGACGAGAACTCACAACTGCCCGGAACATATCGCATCAATGTTGATAAAACCATTCGACTGTCTGGGGAAGCATTGCCACGGGGGATAAAGTAAGCTGACAATACGATCGCTCCTGTTCTGCAGAGGGAATGATGGATTGGCGAGCTCGCTGAACAAATGCTTGCCCGATCCTGCATTAATGTACATCAGCATGAAGCTCGGACCATTGTCGACCTGTGTGCTTGGCCGTGTTGACCATCGCAATCACCACGCACATATGTTCAGTCGCTTTTCATGTGTGTCATGTCAGTTTCACATGGTTCAGCCCCTCAAATTGTGGAAACGGGCAAGGGCCCGAAAGGTCACCCACGTCCCATGGTCGTCCTTGGGCTGTTTAAGGAGAAACAAACATGCAAAGCAACCTCGATGAGAAGCAACAACGTTTACCGTTGGGACCAGTTCACATACATCTACACTGGGGAGCTTTGTCCATGTATTTGTTTCAGATTTGTCAAGGATCCACATGTCCCCGGATTTACCCCCCTCATCAGGTACCCGAAAGAACTGGATCTCTGCCACTTCTTGAGAAGCCTCACTATATGACTTGAGTTCTATGGTGTGGAACCCACAGTGGTACAAAGCCAAGGAAATAGCACATTTGACCAGAATCTTGCCATGTGCTCTTTGTGGGCCATTGACTTTCCCATGCCCCCCCCACAAACAGAAGCAATATATTGATGCTGATCCATATTTGACTTCGACACCCCACCAACCCACCAACCCCCCCATCGTGACTGACGAGCGTCTGCTCCGCAAGAGCTGCTGCAACAGCTGCCTCCACCTGCGATCGATATTCCAGGTTGCTGGTCAACCTAGGGAGGACCTGTGGACAAAATCTGCTTTACCAAATATTTGCCGAGTTTTCATGGGTTTTATCAAGCCTAAGTCCTAGGCCATCCACAGTAGTGAGGGGCATTCGCAAATACCTACTGAAGTCTTAAGTGCAACTTTGGCCCACTCTCCCTCTGGTTCTTTTTGCCGAATCTTGTGTAAGCCACCTTGCCTCAAGCACAAGCCCCAAAGGCTCAGGGTCATCTGGAGTGGATCCAACCTTCGTGCATTGGGTTGTACCTGGCAGAACCTGGTCTTGCCGGGCTGCTTCTGTGAGCCGGTCAGGAGAAAGATGCGATGTCTCAATGTAAGTTTCACTCATGTAGTAATTCGAGGATTCATCAAACCCACATTGCTCACAACGGTGTATGCATGCATATCGCCATCTTCGGGTCCCATAATAACCGGTGTCCAAACGTGTTCTGTTACATACGCATGCGTATGGGTCAGTTGATAAGTGATCGCAAGCTTCAAGCAGGATGTGTCCTTTGTCCACGAGCAGTCTGTTTCTCATCCTGGCGCCTCGCTATGCACGCTCAAGAGCAGGCATGTCCATGGTGACCCCACGGCGGAGTTGGCTGACACCCCATTTTCTGGGTTTGGGGGGTCAGCCAGGTCCTCCAGTAGAGAGGTTAGAATAAGCGTACAATTTTTTCTGCAGTCTATTCTAATAGGGAAACCCTCCCAAAAAAAAGGGCAAAAGGGCACTACTGGGGGACCTAGTCAGGATCCAAGAAACGAAGGAGTCCCCAAAAGAGCGGCCGGATCGAAGCGCCTGTGCGCTGGTGGCCTGGACAGTGAAGACCAGGGAGCCGCTCAGAAGTGCGGCCCACGTCTGGCGGAAAGGGGCCAAGGCGGGCACTTGTGCGAGCGCGGTTCGGGGCGCGTTTTGAGCGGGAAGTCTGGCAAATGGGAAACCTGAAAAGTTGGGAAGCATCTCAAACATAATGCGTCCTATAACAAGGAGCTGCCCTCTTGGAGGGAACGTGCCTTGTATGCCTTTGGGAGAGAATAAGAATCACAGTGGAGTGGGCACCAAACACCCGCGCGTGAGCAACCTCGTATACTTTCAACTCATCGTGCGTGGTTCCGTCACAGGATTTCCCCTTGAAGAGTAGCATTTTTGTTGGCTCTCACTTTTGGAAGTCCAACGAAAACCGAATTCACTGGATTAGTGGTTGGAAAACAAAACAGGACACCCTGGAGCGCACATGTTTGTACATTTTGTGCGATGGTCTTGTCAGAAAATCCAAACAACCTTGCGAAAACCAAACAAGAACTAAACAAGCAAAATGCAACACTATCAGCGGTCCCGACTTTGGAGAGGGGGGCATAGTCTTGCTGTTTTGGTTTTCTCATTTTTTTTGCATTGAATAGGACACGAGTGAAAAACCGAGAAAACCAACAAACAACTACACAATGTCAGCTGTCCTGCCTTGGGGGGGCGGGGGGCATAATATGGCTTTGTTGTCTTTGGCTTTCTCAGGGTGGTGTGCATTCTTAGGGGAAAAACATGAACAACCTCGAGGAAACCAAAACACAAACAAACAAGACTGGGTCAACTGTCCTGACTTCAGACCGGGGGCATGATCTTTTCATTTGCTTGCTTTGTAGTTTTGTTCCGGCCTGTTTGCAAGAGCATTTGTGTTCAAGTGGATTTTCGTTTTTCACATCCAAGCCTATTACAGAAAGCAAGAGATGGTGTCCTCTGATTGGAGTCTGTCCTTAGTAATTTATTATTGATTTCAGTTCGAAATGAAGTAGAGCTTGATAAATACACTATGTTAAGCATAATTCATATGGAAAGAACTCAGAGGTCCCAAATGTGTTGAATACATTATACTTACTTGTTTGCTGATTTGTAAATACAATTATGTTGGAAAGCAAACCCAGTGAAATATGTAATTTCAAATAGAATATTCATTCTTGAAAGTCGAATCTAAATATAAAATGTGCTCGTAGTTGTGCCTTCTAAAATTATGTTTGTTTTCATTTAGAAATTCAGTAGAATGTAACAAACATATTCAGTAGAATTCATCACGAAAGAACTCAGAGGTCTAAAAACCGTGTTTTTGTTGACTGGCCCCAGCACTACCATGGTCAGAATGCACCGTAAAACACCGTGTTTTGTAGCGGTGATAGCGCATCTCCCCCAACGGCTGCTCTCTAAAATTCAATCTGAGTTTGAATAGAATTTAAATGGGACTCAATGAAGAAATACTTGATCAGAACCCTACTCAAAAATAATGTCGTGAAATTAACATTTAAATATATTTATTTCCTGATATAATTTCAAAATTCAACTAGAGTTTAAACATAATTTGACAAGGACACAATCCAACTTCTATGTCATGGTATAATTTAGATTCGACTTTATTCTATGTTAAATTAGAGTTTACAAAGGGTGTTGTTTCAATTCGAGTTTCTTTGCAAGTCAGCTAACATTATAACATGTAAACACAAACATAGGTCAACTCGAAAGCGTGAACAAAAACACACACTTAGAGCGTCCCGCTCTCTTTCTTGAATATATAAGTCCGTGTGAACAATCCTTCAGAAGGCTTGAAATGTACAAAACAGCAGACTCACAGCGTGCTGCGGATGGAAAAACAGGACAAACAAAACCTGAGGGACAGGCCTCAGTGACGTTGGCTGATCCGTTGCAGCTCTGGCCAAAGTACACCACGTAGTGTGTCACAAAGGCCTGCCATGGCAGCGACCGCAAATGCCCCTGGCATATGTTGCAAGGGGGGGATGCCTGTGATTTTACCAGGATTTGGAGGTTGGATGTGGTCAACTTGCAATTTAGGGAATCCACCGACCCCCCCCCGGCTCTGTAAAAGGAAGTTTGGGATTCTGGGACACCCAGTGAGTTTCTTTGGGAGAGGTCACTGAATGTCCTCCAAAATGCATGGCGACGTCCAAACCTGGAAGCCTCAGGTGTTCCACACGCCGACTATCCGAGAGAGATCCTCGGCTTCATGTCGAAAGAGGAATCATGTCCGTGTTTTCCCCAGGGTTGCCCTCTATATTGCAAGACACCCACGGCTAAGCAATCAGGGATATTCAAATCCTGAGTCAATAAGCAATCTGCCAAATTGTCTTGCCGCATGCAGCCCTCAGCACATCGCGAGTGCCTCATACACGCTTCGCACTGCTGTATCACAAGTCCAGGTGAGCAGGGCGGATTCTCTTGGTGTAGCTATAAACTTAGTTGTAAACCCCCCCCCAGTGAGACCAGGTAGTACATAGAACCCACTAGAATCGCCAAGAGGATTTCTTGGCGCTCATCTTGACCGAAGGCGTGCCACAAACTCCTCCAAGCCCCTGTCGGCCTCGTCCTCCGCAAGTGCCCAGGTGAGATTGCCTCCAAGATCCGTGGCGTCCAGGTCGTAGTCATCAAAGGACAAGTTGGACGCCTTGGCCAAACAAAGGCGTGCACAAAGAGTCGCTTGCGTGTTTTTCTTGGAGTTAGTTGAAAAGCAACCAATGGGAAACCAACTCTTTTGGGTGTTTCTCCCATTTACCTGCAAACACCTTGACTGGAAAGGAGAATCTCTCTGAGGATCAGCGCCTTCCCACAAGCCTCCCATTGCAAACTCAGCAACGTAGACGTGGCAACCAGCTACCAGTAAGTCATAACTGTGGCGACTCAATCATGCAATGAGGACTCATGAAAAGACCTGCGCAAGGCGATCAACGTGCGCCCAAACTGGATTGCACATGTCCAAATGCGCAAGATTCTAAAATTGCAAAACGGATATCACCACTTTCCCTTGACATTGCAGGTTCCCCAAAACCTTCGCGTGCCCAACTGTTGTTTCGGCGCGCATGCTGTTCCAAGCTGGCCTGGGAGGAGAAGAGCTTTCGCAGGGCGAACACACCAACCTTCTCCGAACCTTCTGCGGTTAACTTTGGTGACTCCGGGTTTGATCTTGCAAGGACTTGCTTTGTTTCTGCTCTAGCTGTAGCTTTAACTCTGGCCCACGCAAAGCCTTTCGGCGGCGACTTTTTTTGTTGGGGGGGGGGGAGATCGATTAGTGTTCCTTGTTCCTTCAGTATTTGAGTAGAATTGCTGACTGCCCTTTTGGGTTTGTTTCCTGTGAGAATTGGGCAGGTAAGGATTTCTCAAACAACCATGCCCAATGATCTGTCCAACCTTTGGCTTCACAGCAACATTAATGCAAGGGGCAAAATCACACACCTGATTTTATGGTGATGACTAACTTTGTTTTTAAGTCCCCCGCAATGTGAGCCGCAGCCAAAACCAGGTGCAAAACCTGAAAACCTCTGAATCCTTCGGTTTCAAGAGACCGTTTCGGATTTTCAGTTTTGGGTCATCTAAGGAGCAATTTGTTTTGAAAGGACACCTTCGTGGTTGAATATACGAACCGAAACTGTTTAGTGGTAGCTCATATTCTGTGTATCCCAAGATGCTTAACAAAAGGCCCAGTTTCTTTGGCAGGTCTTAAATTGGCACTCCACAAAGGAACAAAGCACTGGGTGTCTGGGACTGTTGAGACTGTCGGGGGCCCTGGGGGCGGCACCATGGCTATCAAATCTGAGATGGCGAGAGCCGCCGGGGTCGTCTGTTCCGCCAGGACAGACTGCGTGTAGACCAGCACGAAACTCCGACCGCCCGAGCTCCTGAGTGAGTGCCCAAAAACCATCCAGTGCCATCTATGTTCAAACAAACTAACCTAAAAAGGACACCTGTGTCACTTTGTGTATATGAGGCCGTATATATCTCCCCGTGAAAGCGGGTAGTAGAACCTACCAAAATGGCCCCTTTGGGGCTTTTGGGCCCCGCTCAAGTGGCAAACGTGGATCGACAAAACTGCAACAGTTGGGATGGATGAAACCGAGCAGCCACGAACCTTTCCCCCATAAAAGAAGTGAAAACAAGGGTTGGCTCGCCAGGTCTCGTCTCGGGTGGCACCAGGAGGTTGGTGGCAGCACCACTGCCCAGCAACCAGCGGTCCAGGCCAGAAGCACTGCTGGCCAGGTAGACAACCTCGGTCCAGCCCCTTAAGGGGTTGATTTTCCTGGCCCCAAGACGACCATGGGAAATCGCCGCTTTTGATTAATCAGAGGGTCCCCCCCCCCCTCCCGGATTGGTGTTCCAGGTGTAGAATTCTAGGGGGCTTGGGCAAGGATCTTTGGGCTCTGGGTCTGGATCTTTGAGAAAGGAGCTTCAATTGATGTTGTATTCGGGCCGACTGCTTGTTTTCCAACTTCGGAAACCATTTCTGTAATTGTCGGGGGGGTCATTAATGCGGGTTGCTGTGCAGAAGACCATGCGAGGAGGAAAAGTCTCAGGTTTCAGTACAAGCCGAGTTCTTGGGATTGCGAGTTTTGATGCTGAAGCTTGGGATTTTGGATTTGGAGCTTTGGAGTTGGGAATGGAGGCAGGGCTTGGCCTTTATTCTGGGAAATGCTATTGTAGTGCAGGAATGCAGTTGTGTGCCCGCCCGATTGGCGCAAAAAAGACTCTCTCGCAGCTAGCTTTGGGACTGGTTCATTGATTCATTGGTAAGTTAGGAACAAGTTTCTTTAATTGTGGGGGAGGTTTGTTAATGTAGGTAGGCGACTTCCGCTGAAGTGAGGTCAGTAAAGACACTGTTAAATAAGGTTCACCTGGTGTAAATTTAGCATCGGCGGCAGGTCGGGACCTGGAAACAAATTTATTTAATTCTGTCTTTTTTTTTTCTTGTGCTTGGATTACCGTGGGCCGTAAGCAGTAATTAACTTTAGTACTGGCCTAATTTAACTTCAGTATTTTCGGACCCCGGAAAAAAAGGCTTCATTGTGGAAGGGTTTGATTATCAAAAGCTACGACTAACTTCTCCCATGTGGTGAAAGTCATCTGTTTGGTTTCTCTGATGGTCATCCCTAAAGGACTTTTTGAGAAACCCCCAAGCCAGCTTGCCTCTCTTTGGAGAGCCCAGTGGCTTGGAGTGGAGCTTGGGTGGATGCCCATTGAATTATCCAACCAGGGGATGGAATCTCCAAACCACGAATTTGGACTACCAAGTCTGGGTTGCCTGAGTAATTAAGGTTGGAGCTTGCCAAGTGTAGGCCTCTTGGTTAAACATGCTTAACTTCACAATGTACAGCAATATTGACTAAACTTGCTCCTTGTGGCGTCCCTTATGGGACGAAATCCACTGCGAGCATTGTGAGCCAACTATGCAATGGTCGTTGAGGCAACAGCTTGGAATCAAACGTCAAGAAACCTGGGGTTGGAAACAGTGTGGCACCGAAAGGGTGCACCGAAAGGGTACCCACGCAGCCGCCAATGGGCGTCTCGTGGCGGTTGGTAACATTGTGTTTGTTTGGTCGCAGTCCAAACGGAATGGAAGCTGTCTTTCCACACCAATACCACAGGTAGAGCAGCCAAAAAGTGAGGAACTCCCGATTGCTCTGTCCGAGCACTTCCCACCTCTTCAATGAACCATGGCAAATATGTCATCATACTTGCTTGCTGCGTTGTGCAAAACAACACATTGCAGTTGTACCTGCGTCAACAAAGCCATGTTTCAAGACCTGGACACTCTTCTGCATGAACCCACTGACACCTTGGTCGCGTTGGTATGTTTCAGACAAACGGACACTGCACCGGGCAATGATATTCAGGATCTGATGGGTCGTGCGTCACATGGAGCTCCTTCGAAACAAAGCCGCTTTGAGATGTCTTCGCTACAACCACCTTTGCCTGGCGATGGCCGTCATCTCCATGACCCAAGAGTATGAGTCGCAGGTGGCTCCAACCCACTGCAGAAAGGCGGAATCTGGCATCTTTTGACACCCATGCAGGACATGGCACGCAAGTGGCCTAATTTTCACGGGTCTTGTGGTTCGTAAGACTCAGAGTGACAAGGACAACACCTGGTTGCAGAAAACAGGAAACAAAGCAGAACCCCGCCCGGAACAACCTTATCAGAATAAAACTTGGCAGGGCGCATATTGCTCCACAAAGTCCATGTCCAACGGCTCCAGCCAAGTAATCTCTCCAGCCAACTCCTCCAGGTCCAGGTCCAGGTCTGAAAAGAAGAGGCCTGGCAAGCCACAAACACACACGAAAAAGCCATTATGGCGGAGGGGTTCGTTGACTCTTCATACTTTTGATCTTTGCCCACCCAGGCACAAACACACACACACACACATCACAACACACCTCCAGGGCAAAGCATCGCGGCGATAAACTCGACGCTTTTGTCTTGGAGTCCAAGGTCCATTTGCTGCACTTCCATACGCCCGCGTGCCCGCACACTCACATGCGCTTACACTCACGCACGCGCACTGACGAATGCACGAGCCCCCCCCCCCAACACACAAACACAAAAACACACACACACACACACTCTGGAAAGTTCCAATACGAGACACGCCCACTTCTGATATAGCGCCTGATGCCCGGGCTTCTGTGTCGATGATCTCTAGCGCCCGGGGTGTCTGCTGTTCTGCCAGGCTGGAGGCAGCAAAGACCTGGGATCGGCCATTCTTGTAGGACCCTAAGTGGTTCCTAACAAATGGGATCTATGCTACACACTTGATTGTCCTTTGTGCAAGTTGGGAACCCGTTGAGAACCCTAAACGGTGTCCCCTGACATTTGGGTACATGTGCAAAATAAGGGGACCCCAAACATGGCGGTTTGCGTTTGGGCTCAGTCAAACCAAGCTGAAAAGGGTAGCCTCAAAAAAGACCCGATTTGTCCCAAATGAAATTCGGAGCCCGGCTTTTTCTTCTTCTTTGTTTGGGCCAGGAATTCCACGTTCGTCCTTAAATGAAAACCAAGTGGAAACCCGGCAATCGGGGAATCCCCAAACTTCAAGAAGCATTTGTGGGGTAGGGAGCTTGTTTGGTAGAGGTAGGGAAGGTTACAAAGGATTGCCAAGCTCCACGATTCTCATTATGTTTTAATCTTCATCACAAGCTTTTTCCAGCTTGACCCGCGCAACTGCGGAAGATCCAGGGAACCGCCCCCAATCAATTTAGTGCAAAAGCTAGTACCCGGGTGGCAGAATTCGTGCAACAACTTAGGCCAACCACTTAGGAGGTCAGGATGCAACTTCTGAATGCCCTCCTACCAAAGGGCCAGCAGATGCGTCGCGCCCTGCAGCGGCAGCTCCTTCAACGCCAGGCTCGGAGCTTCGGCGCCTTGGGTCGCCAAGGTGGCCAGCGCCTGCCAGCGCCCGGAGCTCCGGGTCTCGTTCTCCTCGGACCCGAAATAAGAAGGAAACGAAGCGGAGCCCGGGCAAAACGTGTTGCGATTTACAGGATGCTGCAATCTACATGATTTGGGGTATGTGGCTGATTCAATAACCATAGTTGGGAAATCAAACGTAGTTGGAACCCTCCGGACAAAGGTTTCAGGATGGCATCCAGTTACCATGAGAGAACAAGGGACACGGGTTTCCAGTTTTAATGCAAACCCCACTGGTAGTCAATCCTGCAAAGAATATATGTCCTTTCGACCGAAATTCCGCATGTGCTTTGGGGTGTACGAGAAACTCCGGTTCTCCGAGGAAACCACCCGCGAGGATTCGGCCCCTGGGACCCGGAACCGCAACTCTGGCGCCGAGCAGCAAGCAAGGCGAGGATGCTTTCGTTGCCCAAGCTGTCGTTTCCTCAGCTATCTCTCAGCCACACCGAAACGGAAGGGACTAGGGCGGATACTCCAAGGACAAGACGGATCCCACCTGAAATTCCACCTGGAAAGGCAACGTAAAGTGCAAAGCGGCATGTAGCACAACACCCGTTCAATCTTGGGTGTCTCTTCTGACAAAAAGGCCTACCACAATTCAACAGACTCCTCAACAAAGAAAGGAGGATCACCCTCTTTGTAAACAAACACATAGTAACCGGGGCCCAAGAGGGTCTGCCTTTGCCGAATCGGACCTTCCTTGCCCTATCCACAGCCAGTCACGAGTCGAGAGTTCTCATTCCATGTCATCCCCTCATTGGGTGTCCCCTTACGGAACATACTGAGGACCTTTCGTTTTCACTTCGAACACCAAAGGGAGGCCTTCTGGAAACTTCGGATTGTGGAGGACTCGAGTCGAGATGGCCCATGGGTTCTCACAAAAAGTCAAATCGGTGCGGGTCCCCTCAATCTCAACCGCCCACCCTGGCTGAACCCTCGCTGAGTGTCGCAGCGCCAAGACGATGCGGTAGCTCACAACCTCACATCTCTGGGCATGGTCCATGAACCACTGGCAAAGTAAGCAGTGCCTGATACCCATTGACTGGTGCTACCAACATGGTGTGAAAGCTGTGTATTTGGGATTGTGTTAGTCGTTGGGAAAAGAGCAGCCAAGTTTGGGGCTCTAACCTGAAGTGAAGGCCAACAACACTTGCCGATGTCCAGCGATCCTCCATAAATAAACTGCAACATGAGCAGGTGTGCTTGCCATTGCCTCAAGGCAACCAGGTATTGGACCATTGTGACGTGACAAAGCCATGCCACCCAAATTCCAAATGAGCACATGGCTCGCTCATGGTCGTAGTCCCCCTTTATTTGTGCTCACATGCGCCACCTGTATACCCCCCAAAACCCAGTGGGTGTTCAAATGCTCAAGCAGTTGCTCGCCACTGGGCCCAGTTTGGAAGTTCTAGCTTCTGTCAGAAGGATTGGGTCAGGCTGCGTTGGCAGCTGATGATTAATGGAAGTCCCGATTAACAACGGCAGGCGCATGGTCAATGAGACCCTACCAATGTTTGCATAATTGACAGGGGTCATTAGATTTACCTTCAACAGTGGCAGTTCACTGGTAGGTTCCAACAAAATTGTACTATTGTACTGTTCCAGGTCCAGAAACAGGAAACTGTAAAAGTGGTCGCCACGTGTTCGCCAGGAAGCGAAGCTGTCAGGGGACGGCGCCTCCCACTGCACGGTGCCGCCAACCTGAAGCTGCGAAAGGCAGACGGCAGCTGTCCCTGTTGGAGGTGAACAAAATGTTTTGACGTGTAAGCCACTTTTGGGCCGGCTGTCTGCTAGCGTTGAGAACTCTCAAAATGCAATCACATACCGGGCCAGACTTAAACCCCTGCAAAAGCTTAACTTATTGTTGAAATGAAAAAACAGAAAATAATTATGAACATGAAAACCTGAAAAAGTAAAAAGGCTAGGTCTGGCAATAAAAAGTGAGAGGGGCCTGAACAACTGGGAAATGCTGCTGTTCCTCTTTGGTTTCCTGTGGGCAAAATTAAGATTTGGCACACAGACAAGGGTGTTTCCGTGTCCTACAAATGGTGAGCTGCTTGTGCTGATGTTCATGCAGATGCCCTATGCCCCTTCGAACATCATCCAAAACGGGCTGTGTTATGTCTTGACCATTCGCTCCAACTTCCTTTAAAGGTTTGCCAATCCCGTGGCGATCCTCTCCGGGTCAAACAGCCGACCAACTAATCATCACAAAAACACATTGGTTCTTTCCTCGGGCATGAGGTTCATGAAAAAAAAACACCATGCCTTTTGGTGCGCAGGTCTGAAATGTCACATTCAAAAAGGTGCCGTACCAGGTGTCAGACACCAGCACTCGAATCCGATGGCCGTTGCGCAAAGCGTGGAAAAACATCTATGCACTTTCTAGGGTCAGTGGGTTGGGGAACCGAAGCAAAGGATCTTTGCCTCTACCTTTATGCTTGGAAGTTTACTGGGCTGCCCTCAGATCTCCCGCTAAAAGTTAAACGTTTAATGGGTTTAATGGAAACTACCACTAAAAAATAGGGCTAAAAAGCTAAGGGGATGGCTGGGAGCCACCAAGTTTACAAAGGGCTGCATCCTGAATCTGGTGAACTTCCTTCGCGCAACTAATCAGGCGTTCGACTCCTTGCGGCTCGAAAAGAGAGAACAGCCACATACATCTCATTGGTTGGCTTTTCTATGCACAAGTAAAGCCTTGAAAGTGTCTAACTCGAGAATTCCACTTTCCAGGTCGCCGTTTAGGCTTGTCTGTTGAGGGAACCCTTATTTTGGGGTGGAAACATTTTGAGGTCTCCCAACGTTGACACGAACACAATTTGTGTGCACTTGGGTCACACAACACGGAGTTGTCGGGGTTCGGATTTTTCAAAGCCTCCGTGAGGTCCAGGTCATAGTCATCGAAGCTGATCCGGGGAACCACACGCACCTCTTCGGGCAAAGCAGCCAAGGAGGCAAAAAACAGGGTTGTTTTTCAAAGATGGGATGAACCAACATCGCAGATTGAAACGAAGGGCGACTGCTTGAAAATTAGCTTCTCATTGTCTCTTCATCAGTTTCTTGCAAACAACTTACAATACCCACAGCTGCGAAGCGAAACAACTCGCAATCCCACGTGTTCTAGGAGACCGATGGGTCTATTAAAAAAAATGGGTGCCTGCCAAATGCGTCAAGTCAAACACTAAGCGATGTGGTTCAATGTACTTCTTCGTTTGGCAGTGTGACATGACTGGGGTACAGAACTGGACATTTGAATGTGCATTTGATTGGACCAGTTGCGTGTTTCACATCAACCGGTGCATGGCACCAAGCATGCTTGGTGTGCATCAACAAATGTCCTTGATGTCAGCCGGGCTCATGTCCTGCAAGAACTTGGAAGTCTGCGTTTGTGGGAGAAAGCCCTTTGGCCTGGGAAGACCGCCGTCTCTGGCCAATGCTTGGATCCTGACGCTCTCTCAACAATGTGAGGGTGCGCTTCCCCTCAAAGAGCTCTGTAGGTTCATGGAAATCCACACTGACATCAAGTGGCCAAGCTTCACATGCCCCGCCTATCCGACAAATGGGTAAGTAAGGAACATGGGCTGCACACACAGGTAAATTTGGCGCAAGTCGTCACTCTGCCCAAATTAAACGCCCACAGCTGGCCTTTCCCACGTCGCCATTGGACGGTTAACTTGAGGACAGCAAATGCAAATTTGGAGAAATGCCGATGACGTGACCACTTCAGGAGAACTGGGCCCAATTCGTATTCTAGACCTGTGGCTTGGTCATTCTTTTGATATATGGCGCAACCCTGAGGATTGAACTGGTTCCATTAAATTGCCATCCTCAAAATGACCCAAGTGGTGCTTTAATGGGGTTTCCCGGCAGAAACAATTGGGCCCCCTGCCAGGCCCCCGAACTCGCCGAACCGACACCGGGGCGCTGTATCCGACAGCTCCGAGGCTGTGGGTGTGGTTTGCTCCACCAGCCGCGAGGCCGTGTACACCACCAGGTGCGTAAAGTCCTCCTCGAGCGAGGCAACTTTACAGGCGCAGAGCGCTCACCCGAGCGCACCTTGGCTATCATGTATCATGGTTCTGGTACCCCAATCAAACCACGTATATCTGCGGTGAACAACTAATGGGTGCAGTGTCTTATCGCTTCCAGGTAGCATAGTTATTAATGGTGACTTTTTGAGCTGTGCCTAACCGTCTTAGACCATTCTGACCACGTGTGATGTGGTGGTTCCAAACAACAGCATGCAGCTCGGCGAATCTTGGGTCTATGCATGTGTGGCATGCAAAATTCCAAGAAGGAATGTGAATGTCTCTAACAGTAATAAACATACATGCATACATTACTAGAAGCAAAGGGCAACCGCAAGTCCGGTGCCATTGATATACTTCCGCAAAACACAAGAAGGACAGCTGGGTGACGTCAAAGGGGAGCCCTCACACTGGGCGGTTTCCTTTCGGCTTAGCTTTGCCCTTTGACGGCGCTGGGCGGCCGGGCGAGTGGCAACTCCGCAGAGAGATTCGCCTCCAGAGATGGAGCCATGACATCCTGGAGCTCAGGGCGCTTCATTTCATGGGCGTTTCTCCAGATCCGGGAACTCGCATAATGGTTTTCTTTTCCACCCAAAAAGGGATCCACCATTCTGAAAAAACCCATATAATGAAATATATTTGAGGACTCTCTAAGAACCCAGGACCATTCCTTTGGAGCATACCCCAAAAATACGTGTTTTAGCATATTTTGGGCTATTTTGGGCATGTTTGACAATGATGCTCGCAAGGTAAGGTGCAAAGCTATTAATTCGATTAGGGACAGCCAAGGGCGCAGCGAGGGTTTAACTTGCTCTGATGGTCTTTGCAAACAGGCCTGGGATTAAAGCTGCTACGTTAATTTTCGGTGATGATGAGAACTCATTTCGGCTTCCGAACAAGGGTAAGCACGGGGTTAGTTTAGGCCGCAGGGGACGCCCCAAGGGTAGCCATGTCCTCAATTCTCCAATCCTGGGAACAGGAGTTGGGGGCGGTTTGGGAGTCTTTTCTCCCGGAAACATTAACAATATACCCCGAACCTTGCCAATTTGGGGTATGCTCAAATCAGGGCCCAATTTCCACGGCATACGCAGCCTGACTTGAGCATACCCCAACCCCACCATTCCACCAAAACACACATTCCGGACCCTGAAGCTGGGGACCTAGTGAAGGGGGGAAGCCGACCGCAGTGCCATGCCATAGTTTCCCACAACAAGTGCTTTTTCGGTGGGACAGGTCCCAGGATTGGTTGGAACAGCTTTCACTACAGTTTACAAAAGCTGATCCGGGTTTCCATCATGTGCAGAACCATGCTGGCCACAGCAAGGGATCAAATCAGGCGCAGAATTGGTAAACAGTTCTTTGAAAGCTCTCACCTTTTTCACTTTGCGTTGACCCTTCACCGGCCACAGAATGTGCATAGCAAAAACCTGCGTGATGCAAATTGGAGTAGGCTAAAACCTTGAAAACTGTGCCAAAACTGGTCGGGGTATGGTCCAAAGGTATGGTGTCGAGTTCTTAGAACAGGACCCTTTGGTGAGTGTTCCCCATCTGAGTATTTCTCTAAAATTGCAACGCGTTCCTTTTGGCGTCCCTTGAATACCAAAGAGGTTCCACCAATTTGAGACATTCCCAACGGGGTGGTCAAAATTCAGGATCTGAAAAGGGGCCAAAGAAAAACGACAACCCGCAGGTAAGCGGAGTCTAGCTCAACAGACAAGGCTCAGTTTAGCATACAAGCCCAAATGAACGGAAACTTGCATCTCCCCCAGGTTTGATTTGGATTGAGTACTCTGAATTCAATCCGCCATAGTTGGTGACAAAGGCAAGCGCCGCTCCGAAAATTCCGACTTGCATTGATTTGCCGCGACCTTTGGTGACCCTCAAATCTGTCCGAAGCGAGGTGGGCCGGTGGAATACCTACACATTTTGATCAACAAAGAATTGATCTTTGGACGTATCCAAACTCGCCTCCCTGAAACCCCGGGCAGCAAATCTGCCTGAAAACACCACGCAAAATACAAGCGCCTTGGCTGCAATTCGCACTGAAAGGAGTCGCGCGATTTGTTTCCCGAAATTGTTATCGCAGCTTGTCGCTTGCAAGGCCCTGCAACATACTTCAGCTGTAGAGTTCGGCCTCTATGCCAACATGTCGCCACCTGCTCCCAGTGACTCCATGGCAAGGCATAACTCACAAGCACGAGATTGTGGGGGTCACCCGGGCGCCATTTCTTGAGCTTCATATATGACTTGTTTGATCACACCTGTTCAGGCACGGTATTGGGCTGATATCAGTATGCCAAGAATATCCAAGAACGGAGGGCATCGCTGAACAGTTTGCTGTTGAAGATGCCCGTACCCCTGGTCAACAAGCACTGATAGCTTATGCTAGCCCCTGGCAACGCTGGAAACTGGATTCCCCTCAAACAGCGGCCCATCTGCCGGTATTGGGCAACCTTTCAAACAGAAAGCAACACGGAAAAAAAGGAAAAAACAAAAAAAACGCCTCGGGTTCCCTTGGCAGCTCCCCCATACGCCCGCCGGATCCGTTCCCCGGAGAGCGCGCGCCTGTCCCTGCGAGCGCCCTGCGCCGAGCTCGTCCTCCGCCAAAAAGGCACGGTAGAGCCACACGCGGCTGGCGTCCGGCGGCGGAAGCCAGGAGATGCGGCCTGGCACAACAAATCATTTTGATCTTAGGTGGCTCTAGCCAGGGTTTTCAAATGGTTTGATCTGGTGAGAGAAAATTGCCCCCAGTTATTCTGGGTTTCGAGATGGGTTTTGCCTTTGTCAGTCTTTAAATGTGGGACATAGTGTCACAGGGATATGTGTGGTGTCATATTCTCTGTCAATTCAAATGTCTCCGTAGGGAATGTGGATAGATTCCTAACATAAGCGAACCAACCACGTCCAACCGGAGCAGAAGAACATGGTGTGCCTTGTTCCCATGCAATATTCGGGTGTGTTAGGCAGGATAAACTAAACAGTGGGCTTGGTGTCCCCGTGCAAGACCCTAGGAAAAAGGTACCAAGCTCAACAAAACACACCCATGTCAAATTGACGAAAACAAACCTGAAAATGGTTGGATTCTCTTGCGCCCGAACATTCCAAAAGGTTTGGAACTTGTTCTCACCCAATTCTGCGCGCGATTTGCCAATGGGAAACAGCGTGAAGTCAAGAATCTAAAGCCCAGCAAGACTTGACTGATGGAACGCCGTGCCTTTGCTTTCTTGGGCAAAGGACAACAAGGCATGGCTAACCACTCTTGTGGATTTACACAAGCGTCAATATTCAGTGTCCCCAAACGATATTGGATTTTGATGAGTATCCGCCCACGTGATATTTTGGGCTTCCTGTGACCCATACCCCCTGTACCAATGAATGAAAATGTTGACCGCTCCTATGCTTTGCTCGGGCCTGGTGTTTTGATTTATCAGGCTTCAAACAGCTCCTGCGCATGCAGCTTCAACCTTGCTTGCTTCCTACATTGCAATGGGGGGCTTGGCGTAAATCTGTCTTGTTTTGCTGTGTCTTCTTTGGGAAACCCTGGTATTGCTTTTGCATTTGCGTGACCAGGGATAACGCTCCAGTAGATTTGTTGCTTGGCGTTCATCTTCCGAGCTCGTGCTTGTTTACACTTTGCCGTTGAGACAGTGTGCTTGCTTTCCGAATCTACTGGCGGAGCCAGAAACAGCGGTTCCAGCTGACTCCGGCTCAACATCTTCTCTGGAAGTGCTATTTGAAGGTCAAACAAGAAATACACTGGACTGGAGATTGGAGCGGCTTTCAGGCCCAGGCATAAACAAGTGCGAAAAACCATGCATTGGACAAAGACAACTACGCGGCCCAAATTCTAACAAAAACGGTCTCTCAGGGGTGACTCCAAAACCAAATGTGCACAAGAAGCCTCAGGCATCAAAACAAACCCAGGTCCTCAGGCACGTAGATCCCGAAAGAAGTTTACAAAAGCATCGAAGCCCAAAGCCGGCGCTTAGTTGATTCTACATCAGGCTGTACCCGTTGCTCACTAGGCAACCAGCCAAGGAAGCAAACAAGTGGGTGCTTGTCTATGTGGATGTCCGTGCTTCTTAATTTCGGCAAACAACCTATGCTGGTTGCTTCCTCAGCTGGCCGTTGGGGTTTAAAACATAGCGACACAAAGCCCAGCATACAACAGCTGATGAACATGACAACATAAGATGATAGTGTCCTCTCTTGCCAGCGTTGGCTAGGCTAGTGGAAACAAACAGAAGTGTCATGTGCTTCAATAAGGCCTGGTGACAGCACTCATGGCCCGTCACTGAAAACATCAACGCAGATCCAGTGGAATGAGTGATTTGGCAAAAAGTGGCTGTTGCCTATCTTCCATCTTTTGGGTAAAACAAACCCACGCTCAAGTGTAGTGTTCCAAGCCACTCAAACTCAAAGGATCTTCCAGAGACTTTGGACTTCCAACGTGCACAATAGCATGTGCCCACGAAAGGGCTAAAATGCATTGTTTTGCAAAGTTCACACAACCAGTTCGGGGCCCAAAGCTCTTGAAGCTGATACTGTGTTGGTTCGAAGGAACGATTCCCCGTAGACAAAACAGCAGTGAGCAAGCATGTCTTTTGCAAGGGTTCACGTTTGCTGGTTAACGAGGACAGTGCAGAAAAAAAAAAGGCAAACTGCAAAACAATTAAGCTAAGCTCCATGTTCCTTGGCCAGCATCCCGACTCAGACCCACGGGCCTCCAATTTCCTCCAAATCCAAATCCTCGTCCACCAGAGTGGCATTCTGCACGTTCGCCTAGAACGCAGCCACCCCAGTCCGTGCCAGCACAGGTGGCTGTGGTTCGAAAATAGTTGCCCCACGTGGAACCCTGGCAAGTGGAGCCATGGACCAAAACCTGCGGTCCTCTGGTGGTTTCATTTTGAGCCATACCCAGGCAACTTTCTCGTGTTGATGCTTCTCAAGGAGCCTTGGGCCTTCGATAGCGCAGTACTTGCTGGCGCCGTCCAAGGACGAATTGGGTCCGATGCATATCTGATTCCCAGCAACATTGGAAGTATGTGGTTCGACGACATCGCTGAAGTACTGTATACGAACACAGACGACCATATCTGCAACGGCAGCAGCAACAGAAGCGGCAACCACAACACACAACGACTGACGAAAAGCAAACAAACAAATGACAACGATGCCAGCAGCAACAACAAGTATGCCAATGGACAAAAAACAAACAAAAAGAAAAACAGCTTCTGCCCTGTGCATGTAGACGCTTCATGTGCCTACGTAGTGGTGGGTGTCATTTTCCAGGGCTTGTCGCGCCGCCAGTCAGTGGGGAACCCTTTGGGAGCCAAATACTTTAACAGTGTTATAACACTCCAACAGCAGTGCTATAGCATGTCTCAAGGGGGGGGGTTCAGGGAGGGGGGGGGGGTTATGCTTTCTTAACTAAGCAGCTCAAGCACAAGATACACCCGTCGGCCGTATTGCTCCCCACCGCCCGCCTTTGCATCGAAGATCTGATGCATCTCGGGAGTGGACTGCTCCACCAGCGACGACTTGGTGTAGATCAGGAAGTGTGTGTAGGCCTCCCAGGTGGCAACGCCAACTCACCATCACCCCCCTCCCCCCCCACACAAAAAAAACCAAACACACACACACACAGACAGACACACAAGCCAAAGAAACAAAAAAAAACATGAGCTATCCTACATGGTTGTATGATGTTGCATGGCCGGGTGTTCCCACCTCCTTCTCCAACGATGCACTCATTTGGACTTAATGACCTCGTTGTCCAATGCCGCATGTGCCCGATGTGTTTGTGTTCTCAGCTACCTATGTCATGGTGCCCCTTGGTGTGGTTCTGTGTCCGGCCTGAACTGCGGTCTTCTGCAAAGATAGGCAGTCGCTCATATGGAAGCTGCAAAACGGCCCCTAGAGGAACGTGGTCTCGCAGGGGGTCCTTTTCAGGTTCCATGTTTGGTTTTGGCAAGGTAATCAACCAACCCACCAAGGGTGAAACCAGCCCAGTAGGTAAGATGCCAATTCCATGTGCCCGAAATGCCCAATCAAAGGTTACTTCTTGCTGAAAAGCAAAACCTCACTGAACTCCCCAGCTCAGGCATCCCTGTGCAACTAGGAAAGCAGATCCATACTCAGCTGACCCGCTTATATACACTGGGAACACATAGCTCCTACGCGGATTCTAAGTACGCAGATTCTTTCCGCATAGGAATTTGGCTGTGCGAAGGCCCATACCGAGCAATGAACACATGTTTTGATATCTGGCGACTTGCGCGGGGGCCACGGAACCTACGCCTACGCAAACAAAAGCCTTACACACATGTATATATATATATATGTAATATATACATATATATATATACTCTTGTATGCAAGGTTTCGACATACTCTGGATTGACCAGCTGGAAATGCTTATGAAAGCAGCATGAAATGGATTGTGTCCACCCACAGTCGGCCGAAGCCAAAGCCTGTAACAGCCTCAGGTAATTCGGGCCTCCCACCCTCACGCCTCAAGCTCGGAGATGTTGGCAGTCCGCGAGGTTTCTGGAGGGATGTCCAGCGCGCCCTGAGAAACATGCCAAGGGCGACAGTTCAATATGGAGTTGCTTTTCCTGGCACCTCTTTTTGGTTGGTTTTAAAGAGAAACCAAATTGGATCCAACCATTTTGGGAGTCCACTATTTTGAGACAAACCCGGAACACGCTGCGTTGCTTCCCCACCCACGGCGTTAAACTGCTGAATGGGAGTGCTTTAGTCATGTTCCAAAAGTCCAAAGATTGAACTTCTAAACAGCACAATCAAGATATAGGAAGGGCATTCAAGGGAGCATTCAATGCACAACACAAATTTGATAGCTGGATAGCTACGACATCTACATCCCCAGCTGCTCATCCACCGGACGCATTCAAGGTTGTCAGCTCTGCAAGGTGTAACTCGGGAATCTCCCATCCAGGTCCCTGTAGGTAAAGCAAGCTGGCCAACGTGTCTCCTTTCCAAGGCGTTTATCTTTGTTGCAAGAAGGCTTTTCCGCCTCAACCACGCTTGTCGATAAGCCCAGCGCTGCAAAGCCATCAACTGCTCTCTTTTACCCCCCCACTCCCATAATTTGTCTGGAATGTTCGAAAGCTTGTCCGTCCCATTTTCGCCAGCTGACCTCAAACCCTGAGTATTTTGGAGCGCCTGAATCCCGGCCTGGCCCACGGAGGCGTTTCCCACCAATGACCGCACCGTGACGTTCAGTAAGTCCAGGCCCTGAGCCGAAACGGATCCCCACCAACCAGGTGAAAGATGGCACCAATGCCTTTCTCACTTGCCACGGCCTGGACATATGTTGACCTTTTGAAGCCTGACTTAACATAGACCCAAAAACGGGAACCGAAAGGTCAAAAGGCTTTGGACAAGTACGCCTTAGGTGGTTTCCAGGGGATGACTAATCCAAAATGGGTGATTTTGCCATCTACTTTCTCACCCTAAAAGCTCGCTTTCTGCATGGATTGTCCAAAAGTCCAAAACTTCAGAAACTGGGGAAGTGAGTCCGGTGGCAGAGGGCTGGGGTGTCATCACTTATAAATGTCCAGAGGGTCCCAACCTCCTGAGAGTGGTTGAAGGGGCCTCCTGTGAAGGTGCCTTGACGGGTCTATCTACTGACTGGGTCATGGGTTGCCAATGGACTTCCGAGCCAAAAGAACCCTGCTGACCCAAATCGAGCGATGTGTTGCTGCCACGAGTCTAGGTGACAGGTTGACGAAACGATGGTTTGAATCAGGAAAGGGATGGACAATAAATCCAAACACGCAAGGCAGCATACAAAACCAACAACAAGACGCACACAGCACGCAGCCAAATCAAACCAACCCCCAGGGTTGTGCCACTCTGGATTCTGACCTCCATCGCGGCAAATAGGGAACCCCCCATTCGAGGAACTCTTGATGACAGAGGGTTCAATCGAGCCAAACGTTTATGTGAGCCACCCAAGGGTCAAACCTTCTAAGAAATTTACGGCTGCCGTCTGAAGACATCTCAAGTATGAAGGTCGTAGTCTCAACTCACACCTCAAACCACTAACATTCCTCACTAAACGTCATAAGCAAACCGCTGCAACAGGGGGCCGGATTTCTTTGGGCCCGACGGCTTCACGTCGCACACTGGCCCGGGTCCGCCTTGGAATCGGAGTCATCGCCATCGTATGCGCCATCAAAGTCCTGGGCTTGGATCTTTGTTGTGACCGAACGGTGGGACCCGTGTCAGATCAATCGGAAAGCTTTCAGCCGTTTCCAGAAGAATCCGCTGAGGGAAATCTGATTCAATCGGCTGCATTGCGTGCACTTGCGGACAGCTTGCTTGTGGGTGTGATAGCTTGATTGCTTGACAGCTGGCTTTCACTGATCACTCTCTGTGTTTCCCGATGTATGTGTATATGTTGGTTTAGTTTGATAGGCTGCTTGACGAAACAAACAGTCAATCCATCAATGTGTGCCCCACCCCAGAGAAGCAAAGCCTTCTGCGAAGGAACACCTTCTCGTATAGTAAGAGGTGGTGAGGAGGTTGCAGAATCATGTACAGTCTGCAGAATCATGTACAGTCTCTGCATTGCCGCATGCCGCCGCGGGGCGTTGACAATCTCGGCCAAGTAGATGACATAGCTCTCAACCTGTCAGGTAAGCGCGCGCACTGGCATATCGTTTCTAGAGGCGCATGATCATTGAATCCAACTTCACATGCCTTTCAAAACTAGGGATCCTCGCGGATCCTCTGCAACCAGTTTTGAAAGGAAAGCAACATGCCACAAAACCTTTGGGCACTTACCTTTCGACTCATTACCTCACCTCATGAGTTTGTTGGATATGGTTCTTTAACGGTGGGCTCGGCCTTCTCCTTGCCTCGCTGAATTGATGGCTGTTCCAGTGCCTCTCCAAATCGCCACCAACACGCTAGCATGTTTCAATCGAATAGAAACGACATGCCAAATTGTTGGTGCTGGACGGATGGAAAAGGCAAACACAAACGCCTTATCTACCTCAGCTTTTGCCCTCACTCTTCGAACCATATTCTGGTCCGTACATAGTAAGCTTTCAGGGCCTGCAGTTGGGCTCAAAATCTGGGGCAGAGCAAAACATGTTTCCAGGGTTCCTTCCTCGGCAAGGCAGATGTTGCATCGGTCCTGGCAATCTGCATTCGCAGCTGTTGCTGACTCAGTTGCTGTTTGGCAGTTTCCCACTGTCTCTTTGAGTTGGGCTCTGGGATGGCCTGGCAAAGGGCTTGGATCTGCGCACACGAGGGCAGGGATCCTAGGAATTGTTCCAAATTGCTAAGTTTGGTCTGAGCGGGCTTGCTTACTCCCCACAGATTGCCATAGACCTCAGAGCAAAAAAAAATTCCGGGGTACCCACTGATAATCCATGTCAAAAAACAACAAAAACACACCACACACACACACACAACAACAAAAAAAGAAACAGAAGGGGTAGGTTGCCAAGGCGTTCCGTGAACGTCAAATTGAAACCGAAGTCACAGCGCACCCGGCTCGCCTGATCTGTTTCCTCGGGCTCGCTCCAGTTGAGGCGTCCCCCCAATTCCTAGGGGCGGAGTGCCGAGTGTGGGCGGCTGTGCTGCACCAACCAAACAAGCAGCGCAACCGGGTCAACTGATTTCTGTATATTATCAGTTTATATACAAGTTGGTTGTTTAAGGTTTATTTACAATGCTCCCTACTGGTCCTAACCCAAGCCTACGGGGCTTGCCGTTCCTTGGAGGGAAGGGATTTGTGGCAAACCAAGGGCAAAGGTTCGATTTTTGCTCGGGTTCAACTGACCTTCTAGAGTCGATGCGCCAAGAATCTCCAAGAACTAGCTGAACTTGACTATTCAGCCCTCTTGGCTTTAGGTTTGCAACGAAGCATTGGGTAGTGGTGTCGCTTCACTAACTACGCAACTCCACCTGCTCTGCTTTAGCAAACAGCAAAACTTGAAATTAGACCATGTGCAAGTTCCAGCTTGCCATCAGAAGCACTTTGTTAACAAAAACAACTTGACATTGGCAGCTACAGGCAGTTTTTGGTAAAGCACATGAAGGTCTCTGCCTTAGAAAGGTGGCCATGGACACATACCTCTCAAGATCTCTCAAGGCATATCTACACATGCCAGTGACCTTTGGGCATTCTGGCAGGTGCCGCATTGCTCTGGGACGCTGACCACAATGCAAACAGCTCTCCTCGATGGCATTGCGATAAACGTTGCCAAAAAAAGATACTTTGGCAGCTGCCTCAGTACTCTTCGCATGTCTATGCACACAGCTCTATAAGATCAGACGAATCACCGACCGACAAGCTTCCTGACCCGTCTGGCAAGTGTGACCTCCGGGCCCAAAACCAGCCTGACCAAATGGCCATGTACGCCCAAATCTTGAGGCCATGTTCGCACGCAACATGTGATGTACCCTTAAGGCCAGCTGCAACCAAATGGATGCATGCAAGGCGTTTCTGCCTTGCCGCGAATCAATGCATCTCTTCCCTCCCCACATCCCAGGTGCCATGAAGTCCAAATCCAAGTCGAAGAAGCTCACATTCTCCACTGTTGCCTGGCATGGCAGCAACACCTCAGGACCTCGCCGTGGAAGGTACAAATTCAGGAGGCCCAGCAGAGAATCGGATTATATACATCAGTGTCATTTGGGACTAACGTCGGCCTGTTTATCTGTTGGCAAGGGGGCAAGGGCAGGGACTATTTGAGACTGTGTATAAATAATTAAGAAGCTATTTGAGACTATTTATAAATGATCGAGAAGCTATCTGAGACTCTGTATAAATAAAAGACAAACTACGTGAGACGATTTAAAAATAAAAAACAAACTGTTTGAGACTATTTCTACATGAAAGAGAAGCTATGATATTATTATTGAGTCAAGGAGAAGCTATGTAGGACTATTTATAAATAACAAAGAAGCTTTGTGAGAGTACTTACAGATCAAAGGGAAACTACACAAGACTATTTTTAAATCAAAGGAAACTACAGGAGACTAGTTGGAAACTACAAGAGGCTATTTTTAAGTCAAGGAGAATCTATGTGACACCGCATATAAATCAAAGGGAAACTATGTGAGACTACGTACAAATCAAAGGGACGCTATGTGAGACTATTTATGAGTTAAAGGGAAACTATGTGAGACTACTCTTGAATCAAAAAAGCAGTTACGTGAGACTATTCGTACATCAAAGAAAACGGCGATGGCTCCCAACAACAAATCATAGGGAGCTGCAATGAGGCTGTTTCTAACTCCGAGGAAACTTCATCCTTTCGCAAACAAAGGCGCGCAGAAGTTGCAAGAGAAGGCTGAGGCGCAGCTGATTCTTGGCCCCCTGACACCATTGCTTGCAATTCGTAGCGAAAGCACGACGCGCCTGAAAGCTCACCCCATCACACCGGTCAAGACAAGCAGGCCCAGAATTGCAACAGCAGCTGCGCAACACAACCTGACCCGTTGGAAAGCATGTTCAAGCCACATGTTGGCTGATAGAGAAATCTGCGTTGGCGCTGGTGGCAACAACGCCAAGGCACTTTTAGACATGGCGCCAAACGGGCTGTCTAAAGCAGGAGTTTGTAACAGCATGAAACAGTTAGGGACGGTCTGGGGCTATCTCAAACTAAAACAAGTTTTAGACATAGCGGGAAACGGTTCGGGACGGTTTGGGACTATTTCTAGAACAGGTTTTAGACATAGCGGGAAACGGTTCGGGACGGTTTCGGACTATTTCTAAAAAGGATTCTAGAAACAGCCGGAAGCGGTTCGAAACGGTTTGGGACTATTTCTAAACATGTGTTTAGAAATAGCAAGAAACGGTTCGGGACGGTTTGGAACTATTTCTGAAAAGATTTTAAAAATAGCGGGGAACGGTTTGGGACGGTTTGCGACCATTTGTAAGCATGCTGAAGCCGGAAACTATGCAAAACTATTTGAAACTATTTGAGACTATGCGAAGCGAAAAGTGGCTCTGGGCAGCGCAATGCTTACAAATAGCGGGAAACGGTTTCGAACGGTTTGGAACTATTTCTAAAATCGTTTTAGAAATAGCGGGAAGCGGTTTGAAACGGTCTGGGACTACTTCTAAAACAAGACTTAGAAGTAGCGGAAAACGGTTTGGGACGCTTTAGGACTATTTCTAAAACAGGATCTAGAAATAGAGGGAAACGGTTCGGGACGGTTTGGGACTATTTCTAAAACAGGATCTAGAAATAGCGGGAAACGGTTCGGGACGGTTTGAGACTATTTCTAAAACAGGATCTGGAAAAACCAGGCAATGGCTTGAAAAGGCTTGGGGCGACTCTCAAAGCAGGAGTGAAGTGTTGCAACAGATCGCAGCGGTTTGTGTCTTTTTTGAAGCAGCACGCCCGACCATGAAGAACCTGGGGCGTTGCCAGGGCACTCACCCACTAGGTGCAGCGCAAGTTCGAGAGCCCGAGCCCCGCCTCCTTCGCCAGCTTGGCAAATCCGCTTTTGGGCTTGGGCGGGCTGGCCGGGCCGGGGGGTGGGATGAGGCGGGTTCTGCAGGGCGGGCCTGCGGGGAATGATCGCCGCCCTGCCAACCCAGGCTACGACCCAAGTCTCTGGGCCCCAGCCAAAGATCTGCGGTCTTTGAAAAAGTCAGCAAATTTAGAAATGGTTTCGAATAGTTTCTCGAAATTTTATAAATAGTCTCAAATAGTTTCGAGAAAATTTAGAAATAGTTTCAAATAGTTTCCACTTCTTTTTTAAGTGACGTGTTGCGTGAGCCCACACACCCGTCAGTCCACGGCTGTCCCCGTCAGTCCCCGGCCCGTCCCCGTCAGTCCACGACCGGTCCCCCTCACACCCCACTTGACACCGTCAGTCCGCCCGAGCCACTCCCCCGGCCGCCCAGGGCAAAGTTAACGCGGCTTTTACGTTGGGCCAGCGTGCAGCCAGCTTTCAACGCTCTTCGTAGCCTTTCGGACTACGGGTGGCCGGCGCGACTCCGCGGGCCGCCGGGGCGTTCGCAGTAAGCTGGCGGCCCGCCTCCTGACCTTTCCCCATCCCAGCTTGGCTTAGGGCTCTGTGAGCTGCGTGAAGACTGCCAACAGCGCAAGACCAACTCTCAGTGATTCAACGCTAGGGCAAGCACAAGTAGAGGAAGTTGCCACGCAACACGTTAGTCCGCAACAACGGCGGCGGCTCTTAGTTCCATCATGTTGCAGTTAGGTTTGCCTAGATGGGCATCCAGTCACGCTACAAGTCCGCAACCAGATCACTCGCAAACAAACGGCCTTTGTACTGGCCAACTAATTGGACGCCTGGCCGGGATCCGAATCCAGAGGCAGAACATAACCTTTTTTTTGTACCATAACCATTGCGTAGCACCATTTGGATACCTGCGCAACCAAAAGTCAAAGAAAGCATGCCCTCGGGCGCATCACATCACCTTGCACACTTGACGCCAGTTAACGAAATCTACAACATTCTGTACAGAGGCTTTGTTTTGGAAGCAGCGTCTCTGTCAGGATGTTGCTGGGCGTAGGTTCGGCCACCGACGGCAACGCCCAGCGAAACCTGCGTGATGAGACATCACCTACTCGTGCGGCCACCAAACAACCTCCTTTCCGCCGATTGCGTTCACGGCGGGCCGCCAACTTGAAGCTTACTGCAAGCGCCTGCCGCTTCTGGTTGACACAATTGCCACAGGCTTTTTCTGCGTGCCGCGCAGCACGCCGCATCGCGATGTGCTCAGCTGCACATCCTTCAGAAGACAACAGCTCAGTGGGTTTGCGATCTTCTTCGTTTTTTCGACTTGCCACTGCACCAGCAACACACACAAACTACAATGTGTGGCAGCTGTGCCGTGTAGAATGGTTAGTTCAATGCTGACGAACCGTCTGCGCCCACCTCGTCCTCGCAAATCGTTCAATTGGGCAAGGCCCCTTGCCGCTCAACCCGCTTCCGAAATAATGCTAACAACCAGCGCAGACATGACACTTAAGCTTCTGCCCCCCCCCATTGCGGAAACAGCTTGAGCTCACACTGTCAAGGCAAAGAATTGCAGAACTGGGCGGCTCAAGGCGATTTACTTCCTTGCTGTCGCTGTACTCAGTATTCCCTTGCTGTTTGGGAATACCAGTGGGAATACCAAATGATACATGTGAATAAACGCACAACCTTCGAAACAGGCTCCGAATAGCTTCTCCAAATTTCAGTAGTTTGTGCATCTTTCAACGTAGTTAACTCATTTGTTTATGATCGGTTTCAGATAGCTTCCAGACGTCGGTTTATAACTAGTTTCGGAGAGCTTACTAAACATTTATCAATAGTTTCAAATACCAACATTAAGAAAACAACAATGTTTCAAGTATTGCCCAGGAATTGTAAGAATAGTCTCGAATAGTTTCCTGCAATTTACAAATAGTTTCAAATAGTTTCCTAAATTTAAAGAAATAGTTTCAACTAGTTTCCGTTTGTTGAGGTAAGTTCTATTTGTTTTTGGACCCAAAGGCCCAGAAGCGCCCAGTGCCTAAAACATGGTTATAGACAGTGTCCATTTGTCTGCCTTCTTGCTCAAAGAAGGCCCTTACTTTTGCACATACACCAACGGTTGCCTGCTTCTTTTTTACAAATAGTCTCAAAACAGTTTCTTGCTGTGTTTCTATAAATGGTCTCAAACAGTTTCTAGGCTTTTTTTTTTTTTAAAAAAAAAGATAAATAGTCTCAAACAGTCTGGGATTCTTATAAATAGTCTCAAATAGTTTCTGGGACTTTTATAAATAGTTTCAAATAGTTTCTCCTAAAAAACAGAACTCTGAAATAAACACGCCCACGTTGGTCCTAAAGTGTCATCTCAAAATTGCGGAGCCAGCGCTCATCCCACAGGGCGAAAGGCAACGCATGAGAGGGAACCAAGTCTTCTACCAAACAAGTGCGCTTCGACAAATGCAGAGGCTGAAGCCCAAGATTAAGCCGCTGGAAACCAGTTGTCTCGAATTGGAACCGCATAGTGAAGCCGTCTCCGCCACAGCATGCAAAGCTTTGTGCCACGCCCTCCTGCAACAACATGTGATCCGTGTCGTGTGTACATGCAATGCTGCGACTTTATGACAAGGCAAAGACTTAGTACCCTCCCTTGCAATGTAAGTAGAGGTGCTTGGAAGGATCATGTTCTTGCCAAAGCGACTACTATTGGCAGGAGGTACATCCATTGCCACGCAGGGATTTTTGATTGAAAGGGTGCCAATGGCTGTGCTCGCATCAAACCTCGCCCTGACGCCTGGGTATCTGAGATGAGCAGCGCCACCGGCGTGGTTTGCCTGGCCAAGCCGTCGGGGCCCTTGGAACCACGCCACGCGTAAGCGAAAACTTGTGGTTCTGTGATAGCAAGCAAAAAGGGCAGCTAGGCCTTTGGGGCCTTTGGGGCCCTTGTTGTTGGTGTCGCGAAATGGAGAACCCAAATCTTCCTGGAAATGGCAAACCGGCGAAGGTCGAAGTCGCATACACGCACACTTTGTAGAGCACGGGACGATCCCTGTCCTGTCCTCCCATCTGGACATGGAAACTACGCGCCGAAACAGCAGGAAACAGCTGGCATTGTCTCCATTTCGAGGTGGGTGGTGTTCATTTGGTGTCCCTTTAAACCACTTCTTCGCTTGGCTCATGAAGCCCTTCTCACATACTTTCGCGCAAAACGATCTGTCCACGCTGAGACGGTCAGCTCGATGAACAAAGTTCTGCACCAAGTGGTAGTTAGGTAGCTTATCCCAGTCTTTGTAGGGTTGCATCCATGCTAGGTGGTGCAGGATTCTGTCAAGCCTCAGTAGTGCCTATATCTATACGATTCTATACGCACCTGTTGTCCCCTGTCGTGCAATGCGATAAGCTTTCGGATAGCTTTCCCTACAAAGTTTGACAGCATCTCATCCATCATCCGTTTTCTGTCACACAATGAAACCAACATGAACGACTTCAGGATATGAATGAATGCTGAGTACTGAAAGTCCTTGAAAGGCATCTCTTGTCTCCCACTCGCTTCACTCCTTCATGTTCCCTTGCTCCGGTCAAACAAAAAGAACCAAAGGGACAGGAATGACAGACGGAAGATTGATAGGTAAGCAGATAGAAAAAGAAGGAAGCAAAAGTGATGATGGGATGGGGCCACTCGCTTCGTTCCTGAAATCCACAGTGTTTGTTCATGCTTGACATTTTGTCAGCTTATAATATGCCATGCGGTGTGAGCTGTCTCTAGCACACACCAACGAATACGATCTTAATCTATTTGCATCATCTGCCACAGCCTTGCAAGTCCCATTCTCCATGTCTGTAGGATTCAACATTGTGTAAAACACATGCGCAACCCGCATTTCCAGAGCAAGTCTCTAAAGCAAATGCTGTGCTACCCAACTCGACATACCCGGATGCGAATGTTCCATAGCTTTGGGACGCCACCATTTTAGTTTTAGTAGGTCTCAGGCTTTTCATTGACGAACACGCTCATGCGATTCTGTGCATGCACGCAGCCATAGCAGTGTGATTTGGATGATGCCCACAGGCCACAAAGGCCATTATGTGGTGATACTTCCCAAGGCCATGTGGGCAAAACCACGGACCGGACAACTGAAACAGATTTGACCAAACTAGATAGCATCGACATCTTTTCTTAACGCGGACGCCTGACCGAACAAAGCTGCCCATACAAGTTGTGGCAGGCGCCAGCGGCGTGGGCCCGAGGACGTGTGCGATAATCATGATGAGAAAAAAAAGAAGCGATGCTCATGGTAGCGGGGGAAATTGAAGAGGGGCAGGCTTGCGACAGCAGAGAGGGATGACCAAGTTACCCCCACAACATCCCATCTCTTCAAGGACTCATCAGGAAACCGACTTCGATAGCCTGGCAAAACAAGGACAGTCCTCTTTCCCTACAGCAGACCCGACGACAACGTACTGAGGCCGCTGCTCTGCCAAAGAGGAACTCGTGAAGGCGGTGATGTAGCTGTATGCGAACATGTCAGTCTCTGGCGGCACAGCCTTGGTCACCAGCCAGGGGCTGTCAAATGAAAGTTCCGTACGCTGAGTTGCAACGTGTAGGGCCTTACATTTGTTTCACTCAAGTGACCAGCATGCACTCCCCCACCCTTACTTCATGGCATTTTGAGAGGTTGCAAAGCCAGCACATGTTACGCGTGAAGAGATTTGCCGTTCTTGGGAAAGGATACTGACATGGCTGACACAAGCCCCAGGGGAATGAGGGAAAACGGTACTCAATAGTAATAGCCTCTCTTCATGCTCGGTCCTCTTTTACAACAAGCGGGCCCTCGATGTTGACTGAAACGATCAAAGCAATCACTCCTTGAGTCTTGACAAAGGCTGGTACTCCCCAAAACATGGAACCCAAGCACACACCACTTGAGGAATCTCCTCTTGGGACTCGGAGCCCCCTGGGCTTTGCATGGGAATGACTGGGTTGGTCCCAGAATAGGAAAATGGAACCCCCCCAAACTCAGTGTTTGTGCCTTTTGGCTTCTCTTGAAAGCAACCCAACAAGGGCCCTCAAAACAAACGAGCCACACCTTTGCATGGGAAGACCCTGCCTCTCGAGCGGAGATTTCGTCCGTCTGAGGCTCCCTGCCAAGGCCTCCTCGCCCAAGGACCGCCGCCCCAGCAGCTGGCGCTGGCTCGCGGCCTCGTCGGGCCTCGGCGCTGCGGCTCTTCCACCGTCACTCAGCCGACTTTTGGCCAACGGCTTTCCCATGGGAAAGGAACCTGTTGGAAAAAAAGGCTTAGCCCACAGGAAAAACGGCGCTAAGTGGGCTCCCAAACTGTTTTGGATTTATTTTTTTGGTGAAGCTTACGTTCTTTTGGAGATTTAACATGCTTCCAACATGGAACGTGTTCCCCTTGAAAGGAAAGTATTTCGAAAGCTCACGTGTCAGCTTCCATGATTGGAGGGAGGGTAGTAAGTTACAACTCTATCTGAATGGGTTGCAGGGGTGGTGTACAAAATTGCTGGTGAGATCCTTCCTTCGCATTCCGGAAAGCCACACGTCTAGAGCTGAACAAAACGAAGCCCTGCAATCCTGCCCTTGTGGGAGATGAAAATGAGCCTGGAGAAGCAACATGTCCTCCAATGTCCATCATCCTCTGTATCCTCTACACTTTTCGGAGGGGGCTCGTGGCAGCTCGGTTTGCGGGTTGTGATGGTAGAAGACGATGTTGGCTCCCATGCTAAGAAGCGCCAAACACCTTGCTGCACTTAGTTTGGCAACATGTAACAATGTACCAAGTACGTCTCCAATGGAGAGAATCTCCCAAGATAGGTGGAGTGCCTTTGTTTCCCTTTACAGCAAGCCCACACAGTACGGTGCGTCCAGACCAAGCAAACAGCGACAGCAAAAAGTAATGTGCAATGCAAGATGCTGCTTCCACAAACTGTGATACTAAAAACCATACATCCCTTTCCCAAGACCACTAAACCATGGATTCCTAGTATGGGGGTCCTCACATTTGGGTATGATTAAAACATAGGGGTCATCTCCCTGTCGCATGGTTTGGGTTCCTACTCATTGCACTCCAATATGTGGTCACCCGCAATCACAGGCCCAAGTCCCTCCCAAAATGCGACCTCAGCTTTTGCCCCCACCCAAAACCTAACCTGTTTGATTCTGCCCCCATATTTCGTGCACCTAAATCAAACCAATTGACCCAATGTTCGGGACCGGTTTCCTCGCGCTTCCTTTCTTCTTACTGGTTCTCAGCCCGGAACCGCCAAGATGCTTTGGGAATGAAGCTAGGGATCCCCTCAAAGGAAACCACAAGGGAGGGTCATTCCCTCATTCCCTTCCTATCGAATCAGCCAATTTTGCGCGACCGAGTGGCGCCAGGTAGATGTGGTACGCCTCCACCCGCGCGGACGCCCAGCCAGTGGCAGGAGCCCAGGCGATGTCGCCCCCCAGCTGCGAGTCCTGAAATCGAGAGCCAGGCATCCGCCGAAAACCCACCACTCGGTATCACAAAGGTCATTTTCCAACATCTGGCCGTCGTTTTGCGGGACCCCCCCCCATTTTGCTTGGCTTTGAATGGAAGTAAAAAGGAACCAACAATTCTGGGGAGCCGCCCCTGTCTTTTTCACGTTTTAATTTAAGGTGGGTTTAGTGGCTGTTTAGTTTGGGCGTGGGGTGCTTGCTTACTATGCGTGCTTGCCGCATGAAAAACAATCCAGCTGGATAACATAATATAATAATAATATAGCAGCCGTTTGGGCGTGCACCCATTTGCCAAAGGAAAATGGATCTTCCTCAACATTCAGCTTGCGCTCAAGCACCATGTCCTCTAGCGCCCATTTGGTGCCAGCAATCGTAACCAACAATAATCATGACACCCTCACACGGGTAGCAGAGTGGCGTCCTTTTAGAAAGCAGATGGCACTGAATGACTGGAACCAAAAAAAACTGTTCAACCAGCGATAAGAAAACTAAAGGCAGCGAACAAACAGTGGGCTTGGTAGTATTCGGTCCCAAATCACCCTGGCAAAATCATGACTTGTCCACCTTGGGTCTCCTTCGGGGAACATGAGCACATATGAGCCGCACAAAATGGGAGTCATATTTCTCCCAAGAATGACATTCCCTATTGTCTCAGAACGCGAGCCCTTACATGCTTCGGTTTCCCCGTGTTTTCCCTTCAAGCCATGCCCAAAACGGGTACCTTAAAACCCATCAACCCCAAAGCGGCTAAATTGGAAACAACCCCAGCTACTGACTTTCATACCCCTCCGCGTCAGCAACATCTTCAGCAGCAGGGTCGGAGGCCACAAAACAACAGTTCCCCAACTTCCAGATGTTCAACGCGCGTCATGTCTCGTTTGCCAATATTTGGCTGTGGGTCAAAACCAATGGTACCATTTAGGGGTAGGTGCACCACCCATTTTAGTCTACTTTAGTGGGGATTGGGATGGCACGGGATTTTTACCGCTGGCCATTTGTCCATGTTGAACCAAAGAAACGCCACCAAAGCCACTTTTTTTTTCTGGGCCATGGACTCGCCTCAGCTTGGACTCACTGGATCCAAGCCGGGGGGCATCCAGATCCAAGTCGTGGAAGGTGAGTTGGCCCACGGAGGCCGAGGCGTCGGAGATCGGACCCTGGCCGGGGGTCCGTTGCTCCACCAGCACCTCGAGAGGCGAAGGAAAGAGACGTGTGGGAAGTCTTGCTTCACAAAAATTGGGGAGCCCAGGTGGTCTTCTTTTGGCTTCCTTTTCAAACCATCCAAAAAAGGGTCCCAGCTCCTTCATTGGTTGGGGATGGTTTGCCACTAACCCTCTAGAACCAGGGTTCAACTCCCAAAGCACCAATGAAAGTAGGTGTTCCTTTTTAGCAAGAGTCCCTTCGATTCAAACCACCTCAGACCAGGTACCCTCAAAAAACAACAAAGGCGTGGGGTTCCAACAAAGGCAAGGTAAAGGGGACTGAAGGTCTGGGAGCCATCGACATTGAGGGGCCTCGGGTATGGACCAATCAGGCAGTTAATGTCCGTCTAGTTGGTGGTTTGGAGTGGTGGTTTGGTGGTTAGGGGTGTTTTCACCTTCCATTTGTCTCAACCCGAAGAATTGTATCCACGTCCTTCAGCTTTAAGACTTCAAGTTGCATTGAATTGTAAGCTTCCAAATGTTCGGGCCATTTAACTCTCCAATTTTCTGCAACATCTTGGAACTGCCTCCCATCCAATGGGCGACGAAGAAGCAAGAACATTATGTCCCCAAATGATCTTCCATCCCAAACGCATTCCTTTCTCTTCCCTGTGACCTTGCTTCTTTGACACGCTGATGCAACTCTTTTTGCAGGCGACGATCCAGGAAAGTCTCGTTGAGCCCGAGAAACAAAAGCTTGGATCATGCCAATACACAGATGGCGGCGCTGCACACATTTGTTTTTAATATCTGAACCCGAACAATACTGCCAAACAGGTTGGCCAAACATGACATGGTGTTTCTGGTCAACATCCAAGAAAGATGACTAGTTCAGCGCAAATAAGCGTCAACCACCCACGGAATCTGAGATACCCCACCGAAGGGGGAGAGCTCATGCTGTATAAGTATTCAGATGTAGGCGTTCATCACAGTTTGGTCGCTGTGCGGTGCCTAAAATCATCTGAAACCCGGAACACCAGAACCACGTGCATTGTACATTTCAGCCAATGCTTCGCATTTCGAAGATTCCCATGGGTGCGTCCAGGGTTCCCATTTTGGGGTCGTCCCAAAAAGGAAACCGCCAAATATTTTACAGGTCCAGCAAATGGAGACCACTGAAGGTTCATCCCCGAAGCTGTGCGAAACATACCACCCATGTGAGACAAAGTCCTCCCACGAAATTGTCAGTAGGGTATGTGCAGGACTTTGAAGCCCTTGAAGCTCGGTTTTTGCCCCTTGAGCTTCCTGTCACTAGATCGATCTTGCTCGGGCGCTGATCTTGTGAAGACCGCAAGGTGGGTGTAGTTCAACAGGGGCGTCTCAGCAGGCAGCTGGATGCCTGTGCAGAGGAAAGCAATTCGATGCGGGGTGTTTCAAAATAGGATTTGGAGCGAGATGGTGTCCTTGAAGCTTGTCCTTCAAAACCACCAGAATACAACTAGGGGACGCTGTTGGGGGCATCGTTTACATGGGGATTCGCGTCTAACCATTTGAGGAAGTTCCCAAGTACGATTCATAGCGGCAAGGTATGGGTTTGGCTCAAAATCTAAGAGCCAGGCGGCCACAGGGTTTGGTCTACTTGTTCATTTACCAGGGTTCCATGCCGGGCCCCCATGTTTTGAGCAACACCAGTATCACATGCCAATACTTTTGCTTGAGTTTGCATGCCCGTTCAAGTTCTCCCGGATCGAAATCACAGCTGCAAGGTCCATTCCGATCGAAATATATGCAGACTCACAGCTTGGAGGGCCGTGGTGTTTATTTTTGGTCGAGGTTTCCACAGTGGTCAAGTGCTGGGAAAGAAGCATCCTGAATTGTCAGACTTGCGGGAAATGACTGTCTGGTTCTTCCAAGCAGCTGGTGTTGCTGGAGTTCACCGTCTCGATATGCAGCCAATTGCACAAAGGAGCGGCTGTGCTGTTCTCTCCGTAGGCATCGCTCGTTTCATTTGCCTCCTGCCAAACTCAGAAAGCCGGAAGCTGACCGTCACTCATGACTTCACGCTCCTCAAGGTATGAGACCCCACCGGTTAGAACTAAACAACATACAGCTCCCAGTCCGGTGATCTGCCATTGTTTTCCAGACAAGTGGGGCCATTTGGAGGGAATCAACAGAACCGGCCGTGCAAGTATGCTGACTCTTCGTAAGAATTTGCATCAGACCACACAAATACTTGAACCTTCCAGTAATTCAATCAGACCGCAAAAGGCGAAGTCCTCTTCGCAGAGCGACTCGGCAAAGTAGACCGCCTAAGATCCAGGGGATAGCACAATAGGAAACAAATAGATAGGCATGCCAATTGTCTAGCCCCTACATTGGGGGTTCAAATCATCAAGGACTTGGTACCCATTCGCTGCAGAGTCTTTGGTTAAGCCAAGAATCCTCACGGAGCATTACAACTAATTCATGCGTCTCTCAACAAAATATTGCTGGGGGAGTCTCAAAATGTTGCAGTGTTCATAGGCCCGCGTGACATGTGTTTGTAAGCTGATCAACCAGCACACCAGTAGCTGCAATCCAAACAGTTCTCCTGGCTTTCCTTTGAACATCATCCGAAGTCAGACAAAGGGCATCTTTCTTCCGAAGTGGGTTGCCCAAAAGAAGTCTAAACTTCTTGCTTGCCGCAAGAACTAGTCCAAACCTAAAAAGTAAGAACTGCAGAAACCGAGGGAATGAGACATTCGAGTTCAACGGTCAGAGGAGTCTGGGCGCATACTGCGTCACCAGCTCATCCGCCCCCGCCGGGGTCCAAGTGATCACGCCGCCCAGGTCTGCCTCGTCTCCATGCCCGGAAGCACGTGCCGACGTAGGAATTGGTTTGTCTCAGATTTGGCCATGGGTCAAAAGCCCGTACCCCCCAGTGAACATCCCAAAAATGGGTGGTGCACCTACCCCAAAATGGTACCATCGGTTTTGACCCACAGCCATTTGGGGACCTACCAAAGTGGCTGCTTTCCTGGGACATGAACTCGGGGGCCCAGAAATTAAACACTCACATGCGGTCAGCTGCGACGTACAGGATAGCAAATCTGTGGCCAAACCAGAAAGCATAACAGTTTAATAGCTGGTCGGAGGGTGCCCACTCACAGCTCATACCTGCGCAATAATCGGCGTGTGTGCTTTTGTTCAGCGTGTTGGCCGGAGAAGGCAAGGAACAAGTGCAAGGAGGGAACAAGGCATTTGGTTCCAAGTTTGAGCCAACTCCAGTCGCAAGTGCCCGGGCACTTGTTGTTGCCAATGAGGGAACCCTGGGATAAAGTCTACCGTTGGGTAAACATGAAATGGATTGGGAACAAAGCGTAATGCTCTATGGGCTTGAATGGCCCTTGTTGAATGGACAGGGAACCAGGAGTTGTGCTTCTTGCACAGCCACGGCGTTTTGCCTACTGCATCACGTCATGCAAATTCAGCCGGTGACAAGTCTGAGGCCATACATGTGTACCGTTTCTTGAGGGTACCCTGCTTGGGGATTTTTGACAGAAGCTAAAGAGAAACCAAAGAACAGCCACGCATGTTCAGGGAGCCCTTCTTCAAGAAGAAACAAAGCCTCATGCTGGGCATTCATGCCTCATGTGTGGATGTGACTTATGCAAACAAGCCCGACAACGCCGCGAAGCTTCCATGGGGCAATTCTTCCCCAATCCCGAGTGTGTGTGTGTGTGTGTTCACAAATGGGAAACCCAACAATTGTTGTTCTTTTCTTTGTGCCTTCCCTGTGCACCAAGGTGAACAGCGTACTTTTGAAACAACAAACAACAAGAAGGGCAAACACACACCCACACCCACACACGCACACACACACACACACACATCCGGCCATTCCTTGCTAAAGCCTGGCAAACTCCCTACGGCACTGGTCATACCTTTGAAGAGCTAACTCACTATTCTCATTGATTTGGCACAAGCAGGGGCATGCTGACGCGCACTAGGCTTGGAAAATGCCAATACCCATCTTCCTGCCGTAATCAGGAAATCGTTTTTGGCAACATCGTGCAGCCACAACATGCAACACGAAAGAAGAAAAACAACAACAAAAAAAAAAACAGCTCTCGAACCGGCAGAGCCGACGACGCCTTGTCCAAATCCATGTCCATGAATGAGATGTTGGCCACAGTCGCCTGACACCAGCTGAAGCGACATTGCCTATGTTGCAATTCTCAAATGCAGCGCCCGAACACGCCAGATGTTCGATTCCATGGACACAACATGTGTGACATGTGTTGTGTATTCCGGCAAATCTAAATCTAATATTAAAATGGTCTACACAGAGCGCAAAGAAGTATAAGGGCGGCCGCACCTGTTCAAGTTTCGGACTACTCTTAACACCTGACTAATTAACCTTCATTTATCCGAGTTTGATTGTGGCTCAAGTGCAGCACAATGAATCCAAGAGAAACCTTGCAGGAAATAAGGGAACCACCAGTCCAGAACTTTCGAGGGTTTTGGCTCGTGCCGAATCCGGCAGTTTGTTTGCCCAAATAATTGAAATCAGCCCAGCTGGGTCTAAACTTTGTGCTGGAATGGCTTGAACACCTGTTGAAACAACCTCCCGGGGACAAGGTGAGGGTCTGGTTGTGCGAGCTTCATGAGGTGCTGAGCAGCCTTCTGCGACTCAAACTACTGGGAAGCAGCCTTGGACGTGTCCCAATGCTGCTCTTTCGTCTTCAGAGTGTCACAATCTGCTTTCTGCTTGCTAGTCTTGTCATTTGAGCTTCGATCCTTCACAGTTTCGCGTATGCTCCATTGAAGTAGGTCCTACTGTGAAGAAAGACGCGAAGGACAGTTGCCACCCTCGGATTCTCCTTATTCTATAAAACTGGTGGTGTTCCTGTTCAGTACTGCCACAAGATACAATGCGCACGCGTGGATGTAGCCTACACTTGCGACTGTTGCTTCACCTCGACCCACATGTCTGTCACCCGTTGTACACCTCTCCGAAGGAAGCAGCGTCCAAGCTGACAATGCCTGAAACTGACAGCAAGCATGACTTCTTCCGTCTCTGTCAAACAAGCATGGGGTTCACGCATTTGGACGTGTTTTGCCAAAACATAAGAACCTCTAGGAATCGCTTGAAGCATCCGCGGGCTACATTTCTTACCTTGGAAAGCTTCTTTCCTTGGCCATGCCCCGCGGAGCCAGAACCAACTTGAGGCCAACGGAAGGCCAAAGGCTGGCCTCGTTGTCCACCAGCCAGAGGGAGGCCGGCGACGTCTGTTCCACCAGGCTGGACCTCCGAGACTGAGCATGGCCCTTTGACCGTCCTAATGATTGATCGAAGGAGTCTACCATTTTAACCAAGCCCAACCTTTCGAAGACCCAGTGGAACTGGGTTAATAAAAAGCACACTTTCTCTTTAAGAGTTCTTCAGGTAAAATGGACTGTTGACTCTCGGGCATGGGATATCTCTGGAGTTTAGTTGTGAGGGACATTCGAGAAGTCATGAGAACCCTGCGAAGGGTTCACGGAATGGACCCACATAGCGCGTGCCAAAGGCCACGTGCCCCGCCTGGTGTACACGAGGACCGAATCGAAGGCATTCTTCGGCGTCTCCGCCTGATCGTTGGCTTCGGAGAGGAGGTGTGGCAGCCCAAGACAAACCCACGTTGGTTGGTTTTAAGTGAAACCAAACGGAACACCATCAGCTTGAAGCCCTATGTTGAGACCTCCAAGGATCTGAAATAATGAGGTCTTGGGCCCCTACCATGCAAAGAATCTGGCCGTCAACCCCCCGTCCAAGGGCAAGAATGGGCTGCTCAAGCTGCAAGGAAAACCACTACCATCTGGCATAAGGATCTTGTGGATTGATTTTGGCACAACCCAGCAAGAAGAATGGCAAGAAGGTTGCATATGTTTGCATCACTGCAGCCAAGATGCTGGTATTGCCAAGGCGTTTGCTGTCAGCACACCCAGCTGCAAGCGTGACGAGGAGGATCCAAGATACACCAAATAGTCCTGCGAAGTCAGAAGCATCCCACATGAACATCTGCACAACTTGCAATACACCATGTATACCACAAACTCTCAAACTGTTGCCATCAAGATTGCAAGAAGGCAAGCAGCATCTTGCTGGATCTCGTAGAAACGCCTTGTCTACTATCTGGTCACGCACTATATCGCACCTATAGCGCATTCTTCTGCCATCAGGTTCTTGTTAACCTTCCGTTCTAAAAAAAGTCTGCTTCCTGCCCTGTTCTTGAAGTACAATTTACACAAGTCAGAACTTCTGAGATATTTTTGTTCGTTTGGGCTCTCGCACACGTTTCGGCAATGCGCGTGCCTCGTGTGACCAAGATTCGACGGGCGCAATAGATGTAAATGAGCGCAGCAAAATCGCAAACGAGCGCAAGAAAATTGAAAAAGCACGGCAAATCTATTGCCACGTCCTGCGCACTCAGGTTGCGAGCTCTTCTCCAAGATGGGAGGAACACAAAACTGGAAAACGCCTCGAAAGAAAAGCAAACAGGCGTAACACACATTGCATCGATGAACGGAAGGTCCATGGCCCGTTGCTGAACAAAGATTCAAAACAAACTTCACTGTGGTGCCATAGATTTCAGAAAACTGCCAGCGTCTGTGTGTGTGTGTGTGTGCGGAACATTCGACCTGAGTAATCATAATTCACGAATCCAACATGGTGGATCCCTGTCAAAACGAATCTCCGGTGTGGCTTCGATCGCAAATACACCCGTAAACGAACACGGTCCCCCTATGAGACGTTGGAACCTTTTGGGATCCCAAAGGAACCTGAGCGCATTGAAATGAATCCCCACCTAACTTTGGTGTCCACCAAAGGGTCACCTACTCAAATTCACACCCACATTGGTGCTTCCAAAACTTTCGTATGGTAGCAAAAACCTTTGCGAGTTGCCCCCCCCCTCCCGGTAAAAATGAAACGAACCCACAAACCAACAAACATGCCAAGATCGCCCATAAAGATTCTCACCCTCTTCTGGTTGGCAAAGGGACGACGGAGCCTAATTTTCAAAACCACCCACATTGGCGCCTTCGTCCGAAAGCCTCATAGGATCCAACTCCTTCCCCCAACTCCCCTCCCCCCCCCCGCTTCCTCCAAATTGGGAGCCCGGGGGGGTTGGGGAAGGGAATGGGGATGCGTCCTCTTTTTGTTGGCGCGGGGGGCCGTGTTACCCCTAAGAAACCATTAAGAAAGAAACGTTGGGGGGGTACCCCTAAGAACCTCCAAGGAAAGAACCCACCCATTTTTGGAAAAACCCAACTCGAGGCTTCGATCTCCTGCAGGGCCGAGGTGTCTGCCGGGGAATCCCAGGTCACTTCACCGCCCAGCTCCATGGCATCCAAGTCCAAGTCCAGGAAGGTGACGCCGGACCTGGAGACGAATGCCGTGAGCCGCAGCGTTGATTTTGGCTATGCTTGGTTTTCCCGGGTCCTTGTTCAGTGACATCCTCAAAACCTGCTTTGCTTTGTTTTTCCTGGGTCCTTTAAAGTGACATCCCCAAAGCCTCAGCGCGGTAGTGTTTTTCATTTTCTTGGTGGTCCTTCAAAGTGATATCCTCAAAGGTAAGGGAAGCCAGCCACAAACTAGTGCGAGAACCCCAAAGGTTCATCCGAGGTTAATTGTATTTGAGGTCAAGTTCTGTTTCCGACTCTTCGTGCTAAGTAGTTTGACGCTCTCACGCCTATCCCCATGCCTTTCAACTTGAGATTGACCCCAGGCAATCCATGTACAGTTCCATTGGCATTTGGTATCATGTGGTACACTAATTGACTTGGGGCCACGGATTAAACCTGTCCTTGTTAAACTGTAACATACGTATGCACCTCGGCTTGGACAAGGCAACTGCACGACGAATTCAAATCTCGGAACTCTCAGTGTAAGAATGCGTTTATCACGTCTCTGAGACTGTCAAATCAACAATGTGGCCAACCGCTACTGCAACTGGGTGCATTTGAACTGACATCGCTGCAACAAACGAATGAACGAATAAATAAGCAATCAAACAAGCAATCAAACAAACACGCAACCAAACAAGCAAGCAAGAAAGCATTCAAACAAGCCAACGGGCAAACAATCACACAATCAGGCAACAAACGACCGGACAAACAAACGAACAAACAAACAAACGAAGAACTAAACAAACAACAAACAGCTGGTAACAACATGGATCTATCTATATATATATATATATATTGATCATGCGTTGTGTTTTGCAGTGGTCTTTGCCTTGGGTCTGTCGAGCTCAGGCAGATGACATTCTGCAGGCAATATTTTGCTAAGTTCTTTAAAAGGAAACCAACACCGGCTGCCTTCTTGTTTTTGAGTTGCCCCTTCTGGGGTTAAAGGGAAAAAAAGGAACCACACATCATGTGTGGGCCCGTTGGGGGCCCAGGCACACCTTTCCGATCCTTTCCGGCCAACTATTGGGGGCTTAACCGACTTCACCGAAGCCATGGGTCAATATCCCTGCAAGGCAAGACCAAGCCTTCCGGCCTCGGTCCCAAAGGAAGCCCACCGAAATGGGGGGGTGATGTCGTGATTTGCTTTGGGGATCCTGGGATTGGCTTGGAAAGGAAAACGACCACTTCCAGGGGTACCGATTCCTATGAGACAACCACATCTTCACAACGAGCGGTTTGACTCGACTTGGTGCTGTTGACCCCTCTGCCAAACAAATGTATACCACTTTTGGTGGGTCCAATATGGAAAACCCAGTTTCAACCAAAAAGCAAGTCCAAAGATCCAATGAACTGGCCATACAGTCGAGACCCCGCCCCCCCCGTTCTCCGCCCTCCGCGCAGGTTCCGCTGGGCTCCGGGCGCGGAGGCATCGGCGTCGGCGATGCGCCGAGCGCTGGGGAAGCTCTGCATGGAGAAGTTGGAGGCGGCGTAGACCAGGAGATGAGTGTACGGCGTGAAGACCTGAGCGCCCCCCCCAATCAATGCCAGCTGTGGTAACATGGCCAAAAAAAGGTTTATATAGGCTGAATATAAGCCATGTGAAGCCACGTGTGCGGCGTGAATGCCTCAAATGAACGCGCGATTCGTTGTTTCGTTTGGTACAAAAAGGACCAAAGCTCAAATCTGAGGTCCGCCATTGTTTGTCTCATCAACACGTTGGTTTTGCGAACCATCACAAACTCATTGGTAGAACAGAAAGTCTCGCAACCCTGTCACCCACTTGTCACCCTGGTAAGGAGGGTTGGTGAACAACAGCCCATGGATTTTAGGTCACAGCTGATCCCGTCTAAAGGGCCATCGCACCTCTACGAATCTGGAAGGACACCCTCAAGCCTCGCTGCGCCGCGCACCGAAGGCACTTTTGATCTCTCGCCAATCGGCTCTCCCTGCGATTTGGGATTTGCAGGTCGGAACAGAAGGGCCAGCTGGAATGTGTTTTCATGTGGGCCATTGCGGCGGCATGCCTTTTACCTTGATCCTGATCATGCTCTTGGTAGATGCTGGCCCGTCTAATCCATCCGCTTCACGTAGCATGTGCGGCATCAAATCAACTGAAGGCAGGTCCCCTCAAGATGCGCTCCCTTTTGCGCTTCCTCGCGTGGCTCCTCACGTCAATCTCACTCAAAGAGTGTCCTTCTCATCTCTCAGCTATTGTGCGACTTTTCGGGCTTACCCCTTGTTTGGCAGCTTAAAAAGGCCAACTGAAAGGAAACCAAAGACTTTGGGTCCACCATTTGGAGAAAGTCCCATGTTGTGCGGCAACAGTTGGGCACCGAGTATTTGTCGCTCTTCGGGCTTTGTCGGTGTTTATGTTGAAGGCGGAGAAGCACTCATGGCCAAAACCCAGCAAATCCATTGGGCATGGGGCAGTCCATGCTAAGCTCATGGTGCGCATCAGGCTTGTCTGTTTGGGGGCAGAAAGGAAAAGGGCGATGTATCCAAGAAACCGAACCGTCCTCTTGCGGGCCATGAGGCTCACCCCTCCATTCTTCCAGGGGACAAAAGATGGGGCCCCTCGCATGCGCACGCTCTCCCCCAACCCCAACATGCCCTGTAAATTCGTGGATTGCAACAGAAAGCGTCTGGAGGTTGCCAGGTGTTTGTACCATGGCTTTGTGCCAGAACGGGGGGAGGGCTTTCTTGGGTTTCCTTACCCCGACCATTGAAATAAGGACAGCATGTGACCTGGCAAACTGTCTATCTCAAGAATCGCTGCCGGGACAAGCGACACATGTTGCAACGTCCAGACCGGCTCACTCAGTTTGGAAAATAATGGCCACGAGGTGCTAAGACTGCGAAACCAAGCCAGTTCATAGTAGCCATTCCTCTTGAACCATGCTTTGGCAGGCGGCCAAGAAGGGTGGATCCAGACGTCACGTGGGGGGCTCGACACTTGAGGAACAAAATGTGGGAAAGGTGGTGCTGCGTGAAACAAGCCATCACCTCCGCCCAGAATTAGCGTTTGAACATGTTTCAACACGACATATAGCCCCAACCACAATTCTCCAAGAAAGGCTATTTTGCAAACCCGAACGCGGCAAAGAAAGTTGCAAACAAGAACCCTAAAAGTTTCTAGCATACGGCCTTAGAACTCCTGTCAAGCCGATTTCGGCGAGCCCAGCTCCTCCTCCCAGGCCACCGCCAGTGCCAAGGCCACGCAGCAACCGCCCGCCGCGGCACCCAGGGGAGGCGAATCCTCCAAGAGGTAAACCGCCGCCAGAGAGGCACCGCCCAGGAGGCTGAAGACCGCAGCCTGGCAGTTTCTTAAAATGGGCAAGCCCTAGGGGCCCAGGACCTTATTGTCCATTGTCTTTGGGGGTCACAGGCCCTCATATTTAGGGTCTTGGGCTTCTAGGGAAGGGTTTGGCAAAGGGTGAATCCCATTTTGAGAGCCCCGGATAGGTCTACAAATATGGAATTGCCCAGGTCCCTTTTTGTTTAATGTTTCCCTTTGGTTTGCCGTTGATGCGACCCCTCAAAAGAACATCAAGTGCTGCACCAAACATTGGTTCAAATCGTTTTCAGAATTGGAGAGCCCCAAATCGGCGGTTTCCCTATGGCTTCCTTGAAAGCAACCCTGCAAGAAAGGTCACCACAAGTGAAAAGCACACCCAAATGGCTGCAAGTTAAAACCAAGGTCGGCCCTGGGTGAAAACTCACGATGCCAACATTGAAGGCCCACGATCGTTGCAAGACAAAGGCGCAATAGTGTCTCCATGGTTGTAGATTGTTCAAACAAATCATACTCTTGATAAAATCAACTTCGCACTAATTAGTAGGTGGTTTAGTTCAATATGTGTGAGCTTTGTCCAGATGAGGTAGTGCGGGATGCTGTCCATTACCCGTGTCTCCAACAAGGTCCTGGATAGTCGAGAACAGTTATAGGTCTCAGTTATAGGTCTCTGATTCCAGAAACAGACTTTCAATTATTGAGAAAGGTTGCACTTTGCTTCAGGTGTGTTCACCCGCACCCCCTAAAAACGGAAGGCTGTCGAAGTGACCGACAGAATCTGCGTAGGCCCCACCAACCCCTAACCCGCAACCCCAACCCCCAACCCCCAACCTCCAACCTCCAACCTCCAACCTCCAACCTCCATCCCTCACCCCCCCATCCCCCAACCCACCTACCCACCCCACCCATTCCTGCTGCTTCACCGAGATCTGCCGGTAGAAGCCCCTGGCCGCCTCGCAGCTGCCGGCGCTGACCGCCGCGATGGCGCCCGCAGCCGCCGCGCGCCCCAGACCCACCTCACGGATCCCACGGATCGCACGGATCGGACTGCGAGTGGCAAGCTCAGTCACAATCAAAACCCGGTATTGCAATGGTCTACCCAGAACCATGTCAAGAATCAAGAAAGCAGCCGCAACTATCTCCAGCTGGGACTGCCCCTTACTAACCTTCATATACCCGGGTTTTGATTATGGCTCAGCTTGGATGCCACACCCAACACAGACAACAGTGTTATGACTCAAAATAGCTTATAAGACAGGAACAGTCAAAAGTTCATGAAAAAGGGCGCGCAAAGGTCAACCGTTGTGTTGTTTTAAGTGCAAGAAAAAATATAACTTCAACTGAACAGTTCAAACAATGTGGTTGCAACATGTTGGCGCATTTCGGACCTGTCTTGGGCTTATTTCTGGGAAACCAGCTGTGGTGGAAGTTTTTGAACTCATCTGGCTGAAACTGGGGTGGCATCCGAGGTTTCTCGTTGAAAAGGGAAACCAACATGCAAGCCAAAACAGATGTCAATGTTGACTCAGACTTTTCCAACCCCCAAACCATCAGAGATAGGGAACAAACGAGTAAAACAACCATAATATAGCAACTGCATATTGGATAAAGGTTGCACACATCATGCTGCTCGAGGCTGAATCCGATTCTGAGCACAGGAGAGATGGTGAATTCCCTTCACGTCGTCCGGCGAACATGGGCAACAGTCCGCGTAGTTTGATCTTTGTCACCTCTGTTCATCATTTGACGCGTTGTACGTGCTGGTGCTTTCATCAAAATGCATTTGTTTATTTGCTGTTCAATCAATTGCTCTGCTGAAACACGCAGTGGTATTTTTGCATGTCGCCACTTGACGGGTGTGAACATGGTGTCTTCGGCAGGCATTGATAACCCAAGTGCCATCTACGCTCAGCCAAGGAATATTTACTCTCCATGACAAATTGACCCAGGAGGTGTCATGTCACTTAGACGTGTCATGCGAGATGCGAGATGCGATGCTCCCAAGCCGATGGCATAGCTCCCAAGGTTTGGACAAAGGCACCTGCTGCAGCACTTGCCAGTCTGTCTGGAGGCCGCTGGCGGTCGGGTGCGGGTAGATCCTCAGATCCGCATGGAATCCACGTATCTTCAATTGGTGGTTTTGAGGTTTGGAAGTTAGGGCACCAATTCTGAGTTGTCACCTCGAAGCTAAGAAGAACCAGGCAAAAAGAAGTACCTGAATACTACAACTGGGAATTTACCTAGACAATTTAAACCAATCTCTATATCTCTGACACATGAGGAACGACAGCGGCGTCGGAGCATGTGGGAACAAGCATGCTGGGCCCTTGCGTAGAGACTACAAGTTGTGCCCGCCGGCAAAGTTGTTCGCTTCGAAACCCAGGTTGACCTGCAAAATAACTCTGGGAAGGATACTGTAAGGGCCCAAATAACTGGAATCTGGGTTGGGCTTGATCTTGCCAGTACTTGATTCAGCATTGTCAATTCCAAATAATTTTGTATGGCCAAGAAGTATGCCAGTCAATGATTGAGTATTGCCAATTCTAATTTCAGTATTGCCAGACTTCCTCTCAGACTCCGACTGCTTAATTTCGAGTTGGCAATTCTAAACGTAGTATTACCAAGACGTACTCTCAGATTCCGAGTGTTTGATTTAGTATTGCCAAGTCTCTAAATTAAGTATTGCCAACACTTACTCTCAGATTCCCAGTACTTTCATTTAGAATTACCAAGCCCAAATCATAAATTGCGAAGACTGAATCTCAGATTCCCAGATCTGAAATTCACCACACCCGCAGGAAAATAGCTTGCCAGTACAGCGGACTCCCAACACAGTCTTGCTTTTATAAGGGATATGTATAAGACCCGGACGATCCTGCATCTAAGTAAGGCTTTTAGCGGGAAGGGCTTAGATAAACCAGCCTTTAACGTAAAAGGCAAAGGCGTTGATCTGGTATTTGTGCCGTCGTTTGTTGTCCGAATGTTTGTCTTGCTTTTGTTTGTTCCCCGCGAAAAAAAGAAAAGAACAAAAACAAACTTCTATAGTAGCGAACCCCAAAGCAGTCACAGGATTCGATGAGGAGACCCAGTTTTGTACAAGCGGCCCTGGTCCGACGTTAGCCCCTGTTACTACTCAAACAAGGGCATCATCATCTAGGTCAAACAAGAGACATAGCTTCATGGAACACCAAGCACATCTACATCCCTTTCGCCATGTGTTTTTTCCAGCGCGAACCTCCAAAAAAAAACACCAGATCGCGAGGCCCACTTTAGGGGGTGGTCAAAGTTAGGATACCCTCAAATATGGAGGTACAAGGCGCCAAGGGCCAACAAGCAATGCCATCGTCTTGAGGAAAGCACCTCATTTGGCCATGGGCCAAAAGCCCGTACCCCCAGTGAACATCCCAACCCACTAAAATAGACTAAAATGGGTGGTTCACCTCCCCCAACTGGTACCATTGGCTTTGACCCACAGCCATCTCTCTCCCGGGCGCAACGCCGGCAGTGCCAGCGCCAGCGCCCCCACGCTCGCCCGGGAAGCTGCCGGGCCATCGCCCAGTCCGGCCAAGTCTTGCGGCGGCGCCGCGGCAAAAGCGCCAAGGACGCCAAGGGCGGTGCCAAGGGACCACGGAGCCGAGGAGAGCAGGCCAAGCGTCCTGCAAGTCCAGGGCTTGGACCCGGGGAACCCTGAGCAAATCCAGTTTGACCACCAGGACCCAGAGCGCACGTGTTTTAGATGTAAGATGGCCGGCATGCCGCCAGTTTCAGCCATGTGGTCTACATACACTTTTAGGACTGGCAATGTGTTGGCAATATCTGGTCGCTCGAAAGCGACTGCACATTATGATCTCGACACATTGGTTTGAAGAAACGAAAAAGTAGCGCTGCAAGCAAAAGCCCAGAAACCATCAAACCCTGAAGCTGCCCCAGAATCAAACCCAAGGTTTGCATTGTCGAGGCTCAGCAGCAGAGTCAGCGACAGCAAAGCCAAGTGGAGCCTCCCTGGATTTCTGCGGAGAAGAGCCGTGGCCAGAAAGATCCCGCTGGAGCGAAGTGCCAAAACCTCCACACATCAGACGCGTGCGAAAATGGCACGCAAAAACGGGTGATCGATCCTTCTGGCTGTGATTTAAACAAAGGGAAATAGTGTACCCCAACAAACACTATATGGGCAAGTCTCAGAAATAGGTTTCCTTTGGGTTGCTTTGAAACCAACCCCTTTAGCCTTCGGGGAGACCCCAAAAAACGGGACAGGCCTTGCTTCGAATTTGCAGGCACAATTTGCTTGGAACCTGACTGGGGGGGTTGGACCTCTAAAAGGGAGGGCACCACTTTCCTTTGACACTGCACCACTTTCCTTTGACACTAGCATCTCAAGCGACTGGCGCTACGTTAGGAAACTCCCAGCTAATTCGCTTGCTGGTTGTAGCTTGCGGTCATCCGCGAGCTCATTTGCTCACCCCGGAATGCTTGCCAGCCATTGATGTAGATAATATATTGTGTTCGCTGCTGAGATCGCTGTGCTCCAAGGTGTGACCACAAAGCTCAATCCTCCCCCTTCCACTTCCCCAAAAGACGAAACGAACATGTGTTTTTCTGTTGTTAAACCTATATAGCCTATAGCGGGAAAAATAAGAGGACCATCTCCTCAAAATCGTGCTATCTCACTGGCTCAGGCACCAGCGGCAGGTCCAGGAAGGCCAGGCTCAGATTCGCTCCGCCCGCGGCCGCTGCCGCCAACGCCCCGTGGGACGTCGCCGCAAACGGCGCAGATCGCGCCCGGACGGCCCCCACGGCCGCGGCAGCGAGGAGCTGCGGCACGGCCAAGGCGAAGGGCGCCGGGGCGTTGAGAGCCCCCGAGAGGAGGTACCTCCGGGAATTGGACACCCAACAGACTTGTTGCCTTGTGGACAAAGAAAAGCCGAAAACGGCGAAAAGAGAAAACAGGTAAGCTAAGTCTGGCCATGGTGCTTGAGGAGGAAAACGTGGAAGAGTTGCAGGGCGCAGAAAGTGAGGCACACTCCCAGGTCGGACAAATCACCCAAGCTCAGGAAAAGGCCGGCTACAAGCATTGCCAGCAACACCAGCAGCAGTGTCTGATGCATTGGTATTGAAGCGTCCTCTTGTCGCCTCGCAAAGGACAACTTCGGGCCAATGTCTCAGGCATCATTGCATATTTCGAAGCCAACTATATTTAACGGATCACAGCAGTTTCAACAGCATTCCTTAAACGGAATCCATGTGCACTGCAAAAGTTTTGCAAACCTGTGCTTTCTCAACCAAATCCGAATCCAAATTCGCCTGATTAAGGGAGGTTCCACGTCGAAGTAGCCAAGGAGGTTGGGATACTCGTGGATGTAGCCGTACTTTGACCTGAGTCGCGCACATCTCCTATCGAATCGGGCCAGTTTGCGGCGGCAGAGGGTGATTTCCAGTCTACTTCCATTGGCTTGCAAGCATTGAAAGCTGGCATCCCCGCAGGAGGACATAGACGGACTGATCGACTTGGGGGCCCATGGACAAATACTGCAATGGGCAAAAAGAAACCTATTCTCATTATCCTCGCAGATTTGGAGGGACTCCATGAGCAAAATGCGAACCAATTCATCAGCACCGTGCACCTTTCAGGTAAGCACAGCAAGGATTTCGAAGTGTTGCACATAGCTCGGAGTCGGCCTTGGCGACTGATGCGCTTCTTGTATTGATTCAGGCAAATTCAAGAAGTTTGTCAGTGGCCACATTGCTACGTATTGACCGAACGCCAAGTCTGCTCAATTCACCTTAGAGAGTCACTCACCAAGGAACCCTGCCTAAAGGCGCACAGTTTGGGGCACCATGATCTTACTTGCCCAAGGAACACGAAAGTAACAGGTTGACTCACCTTTGGGAACCTTGACGCAACAGAGAATTTGGAAAAACCAAGTGACAAAGGGGTTGGCTTTGAACAGTGACTCAATCCATTTTCCTTTGGCCACGCATACAGCCACAACATTGAAGCATGTGGAAGCCTGGGAATTCTCGAAGTGTCAAGGCCGAGCAAGGTCAAGTGCAAACATTGGCCAATGCATATGCTCGGTTTTGTGATATGTATTTTTTGTTTAAACAAAACAAGAAGAACTTAAGAGAGCCAAGATGCATATCTCAGGGTGGATCTCGCTGCGGCGGCTTTTTGACTTACCCTGCTGTTAGGGACTGCCGACTACAAGGCCTCTGCAACACGATCCCTGCTCCCGTCGCCTGGCTTTGGTTTGCGACTGCTAAAAGGATGAGTTAATTGGCCCAATCATAAACCACAAACTCCGAAAATGTTCACTTCCAAACATGCCCTCTGTCAGCTTTATCTGGCCGAGATATTGTGTTTGCAGAGCATGTAGGCACAGAGAACGGTTCAAGGGGAACATGACTGCCATTGACTGCCTCATCCTTTTTAGGACAACCACTGTCTACAAACACCACGCAATACCAGGAGCTGACATCAATTACAGCACCCCAACTACGGCTCATTTTGGCGGTTTCAATATTGGCGACGCCGACGTGTCTTCTTTTGAGGTAACCCTTCTGTCGCTGTTTTGAAACGAAATCAAGAGGAAACTAGTCATTGGGGGGGGTCCTATAGTTTGAGACCCATTCCGTCCGAAAGGCGTGCTGCGGGCCAGCAAGTAATGCATCTCAGCCCGCGCAGCTTTGTAGTCATAGGATCTTGGGACGAAGCAGCTGGGTGCGGCTCATGCTTTTTGCAGCGGAGGTTGGTTTAACGGGACACCAACAAGAAAACCGAAGCCATTTTAGGGGGGTCACCATATCTTGACACATCAAATGTCTTTGAGGTCACTTGTTGATTCGATGTTATATTGAAGCAACGGCTCCGTACTCGTGGTTTATCGCCTACGTAGTTCCAAAACATGGTTTTTTTAAACAAGCAACTTACTTGTGCAACGCAATTAATTGGCAACCCAAACCTGAAAATTCATGCTGACTGCAAGGGGAAGAAGAAGGGGTAGACTCCATGAGGATCCAAAAGCGGCCGAGCAGCCGAACGGAAATCTAGCCTCAAACGTCTTGGGATGTCGACCAGCCGATTGATGGGCGATTGATGGGCATTCTAGGAAACAATTGCAATATTACCATTCGGGGAGCCATGCGCCCATGGGAACCCTGACGCTGGCACATATGTGGGTTAGTTTCCAAATGAGAACCCCTCCATGCACGGATAGTTTTCCGTTCCCTTTGGCTTCCTTCTGAAACAAACCACAAAACAATATTAAAACAAAACACCGCCATGTGAGTGGAACTCGCGCTCAGCGCAATGGAAATCTGTGCCAAGGCGCGACTCCGAGTCTAAACGGTTCTTGCGCATGGTCATGGAGTCGAAAATGCCAACCTTCATGGAGCACGCCCGAGGCGTGACCATGTCCACACCTTGGATCCCAGTCAACATGCTCGGACCATGGGATCTTGCTGATACCTCTATGCTCACTGCATGTCTTCCAGTGCCAGCAAACGTTGCATAGGCGCTGGGTGTGACTGCAACTTGTCCATGCGCGTACTGGCGACGCCAACATTCTCCCGGGCTTGTGACGCCGGCAAGAATCGGAACCCTTTTTGGGTGTGTCCGCTCAATAACGAAACGGAAACAGACTCCGCCAAACAACTAAGGTACCTGACACTGGGAAGAGAAACAAAAAGGTCGCAATGAAGGCCGTGTTCTGCCAAGATGCCCCAGCCCAAGTGAATGATATCGCTATGGTTGCGAATGAACTGCTGCTTGCAAAGAAAGGCCTGACGGGAGTCGAAGCTTGGCGATGACCGCATTGCACCCGCTTTGAGATGCGATTGAACTCAGTATGGCCAGTGAGACACAGAAACACACACACACATACACATGTCCACAGAACAGCAAAAATCTGTACATACGACTATGTATATATATATATGGTACCCCCCCCCAGTACCCAGGTGTTTTTGCATCATGTATCAAAACCATTGATATTTACAGTGTATTTTGATTGAACTCATGCATTTTCGGCAAGGCCATTTTGTGGACCAAAAAAAACAAAACACCCAAAAACCAAAAAACAAAAAAATCAATCCTAGCCCCCACCATGGCTGGGAGTCTTTGTTTTTTGTTTTTTGTTTTTTGGTCCAGGGAAATGTTGCGCGACAAATTCCAAATGTTGCGCAACATTGGCAACTCTTTCACATATGCTGCCTTTGTTTCATTGAAAGAAGACATGTAAAAAGACATGTGTTGGGTGAGAGGATGTGTGAATTCTCTGTGGAAGAGTCTTTGAAACAAGGCATGGTTTGTGTGGGAAGATATGTGAGTTCTCTGTGGAAGAGCCTTTGAAAGAAGGCATGGTTTGTGTGGGAAGATACGTGAATTGAATTTTGTGTGGAAGAGCCATTGAAAAAGGGCATGGGTTTGGTGAGAGGATATGTGATTCCTTGTGAAAGAAGGCATGCAAAAAGACATGTTTTGGGTGAGAGTTTGGTGAGAGGATATGTGAACCTTTGTGAAAGAAGGCATGTAAAAAGACATGTTTTGGGTGAGAGGATGAATGAATTTTCTGTAGAGAAGGGCTATTGAAAAGACATGCTTTGTGTGAGATGATATGTGAATATTCTGTGGAAGGATCTTTGAAAGAAGGGGTTTGTGTGGGAAGATATGTTAATTTTCTGTGGAAGAGCCTTTGAAAAATTGCATGTTTTGCTGAGATGATATGTGAACCTTTGTGAAAGAAGACATGTTCTGGGTGAGAGGATATGTGAATTTTCTGTAGAGAAGAGTTATTGAAAACTACATGTTTTATGTGAGATGATATGCGTGTCTTTGTGGAAGAGTCAGGGGTACAGTGATTCATAAAAGTACAGCAAAAGACAGTAAATATCATGTAAGACCACTATTGTAACACAAACTGTCCCAGCTATAGCCTGGCTTCATTCTACACAGGGTTCACTTTCCTTGGCAACTCTTTCACATATGCTGCCTTTGTTTCATTGAAAGAAGACATGTAAAAAGACATGTGTTGGGTGAGAGGATGTGTGAATTTTCTGTGGAAGAGTCTTTGAACCAAGGCATGGTCTGCGTGGGAAGATATGTGAGTTCTCTGTGGAAGAGCCTTTGAAAGAAGGCATGGTTTGTGTAGGAAGATATGTGAATTGAATTTTGTGTGGAAGAGCCATTGAACAATTGAAAAAGGGCATGGGTCACGTCCAAGGCGTCTTTCTTCAATGAGGCAAACCTCCTTCCTCTGGTCTCCCAGTGTGCAAATCTTAGCTATTCTTCCTGCCTGCTTCCGCGGTCAAAGCACATCTGAACCAAGCCCAAACCTGGGTACCTGGAGGCGGGGGGTAGCATATATATATATATATGAATAGGTATGCAACATACACATGCTGTGCATGTAAATATGCACCTGAGACGTGCACACCTTTATCCCCAACAGAACCAACATCTGTGAATCGGACGTCTCCATTTGCCACCGGTCCATGTGTTTCGCGCCTCCCGAGAGAAGAGGCTAAATTGGAATTCCAGCCACTCCAGGACCCTCCCGGAGTGTCGGTTGGCCATCTGCGTCATGAAGACTTGGTCCTTTGTCCTAAGCTGAAGGACTGCAGGACCGCAAACTAAACAAATTGAGATACATCGCTGGATTGCCGGAAGACCTCTCATCCACATGCTCGGAGCCTGAAATGGAACCCAAAACACCAAAGTGGTCTTGCACTTGCCCATCAGGACGTTTGCCGGGATTTGCCACGCAAAAAACAATGGGACACCACGAGCACTGGTCGTCTGGGGCCGAACTGAAATGTCTTGTCGCTCCACGCAAGGCTAAGTCTGGCATGCTGCTGCTAAAGAGACTGATTTCTTCCTATGAACAGGCCGGTTGCTGAACTAGAGGCCACTTTTGGTGAACTTCCTTCATTGGAGGCGCACCAACGCCCGTCCCTCAAGGCTGGAAGGCAGCCTCCATGTGGGGACAATGAACTTGCATGTTGGTAGACATCATTTACACGGGAATCTCCGTCCAACATGTTCGATGGTACTGTGGGATGGACGAAATCCTGCACCACGCTGAAACCAGAGAAACCCATTGTTTGTTGGTATTTACAGGGGAATTATCATTCCAAGGTTTCTTAGGTGGTGCAGGATTTCGTCCATCCACAGTATTTTCCCCAAAAAACAACAACATAGCCAAGTTTGACCAGCGCCAAGCGAGCAGCTGAAACGCGACCGAGCGGCTCCAACAAGGAGCTCACCTCGCCCGTGGCAGTGACCTCCAGCAAACTGGGCTCTGATCGGAAGCTCGGTGAAAGCAGCTGAAAGGATTGCTCCTGGCAACACAAAGCGGCACAATGGAACAGTGATAGACCTGGGTCTGAGCTAAGAGCCGTCATTCTTTATCGTCCCCATGTTTTTGGATGTTTTTCCCCAAAGCTGGTTTGAGTCTGTGACATGCCGGAATGGTTTCTGATCGTGAGGCGAAACACAAACAGAAGCAATACAAAGAATCACGCGCTGCTGTATGTTGCGCTTGCAAGACAAGGCTTCACATGGAAAACACTGGCACGAATGTGTGATCTATGATATGTATGTCGTTGTCCTTTCTTGCCGTTGTTTCCAGTGACAGTGTCCGACATGTTGTCCACACACCAAAATTACGGCGTGAGAAAAAGCGCAGTACAGCCAAGAAAACCATACATATGACCCACGCAATCGCCGATGCAGAATCTGGCTCGGCCGTCCACCTTCGACGACGCAATGCGCCGGCTCATTCGATCACCAAGCGACGCCAGCGACGCCAGCATTTTGTAACAGGCGGAGCCTGATACTGGTAGGGCCCCACCGTCCGCGGCGCAGCTTGCCGGGTCGCTACTAGAACTTCTTGTTCACACGTTTGCGAACCGAATTCTTAGCCAAAACCGAGCGTCGAAACCGCATTCTTGCGGCCTGTTTGGGCCGCCTTGACTTGGCTCACCTCAGAATCGATGGTTGTCTGCCTCAACTTCTCGTTGAGGTCCACCTAGAACGCAGTAAACTGACAGCGTTATCCTTTCCAAAGTAGCCTCACACGCCTGACATATCGTGCTTAAAACGCAGGAAACACCCAGGGAACTACTGTTGGTGAGACAGTGAATGGCACAGATTGTGGCAATCTGCCACAATATAAATTCCAAATGTGCTGTACAAGATGACGGGCCATCTAATCTGAACCCTCCAAAATGAGCGGTTTCGCTTTGATATCTCAACAAAGCAACACCAAAAGGGCAAAGGACCCACAGGTCGTCCAGTTCCCAAATGGGCAGCCCTCTTCGAGTTGATCCACAAAGGACACCAGATTGAACACGGCGGCAGACCGTCTGCCTCTTTTGAGACATAACCCCTTCAGACTGCCCTCAGCAGTAAGAGACAGACGAGCAAGGAAGATTTAAATTCAACAACAAGCAAAGAAGCAGAAGAAGACAAATGAGGAGCGAGAATAACAAGAACACAATGAAGGATGAAACACTAAGAACGAGCAATAAAAAACATGGGCAGAGAATGGGAAACGCCGGAAGATCAAGATCAATAATTTCATACAATACTAGTAGCAACCAATAACACCAAGAAACCAAAGCAAAACTACAAACAGGGAAAATATCAACAAAAACAAACGACATGACTCCAATAAATAAACTAAATGAAAGACATACCGGAGCGTCCTCCATGACTCGCATCATGGTCTTCAAATCCAGATTTGGCCCCGGAACGATGGAGTCGATCCAGTGCAGCACGTACTTGGCGCGGTCGATTTCAGGCACCCGCAGCTTCCTCGAATGCGCCAGATTGGTTTCCTTGAGCTTTGTTAGTTCATCCAAAAAAGGGGTTGCCAGACCTCTCCCTGAGAGCCTCGTCTTAAGAATGTGAAAAGCCACTGTTGCATGTGTTGTTCTTCCATGACTCTGAATGCTGCGAAATGATCATCATCAACTCTACATGCGCGCCCTCACCGTAAAGCATGATTGGCAATCGACTCCTGGGCCAAAGCCGGCTCTAAAATGCTCGGCCCACGAATTCAATGATTCCACAACAGGAAATGGGTGTCTCTTGTTTCTTCTTCTTTTTTTGGGGACCCCCAAAATGGTTTGCTTCCTTTTGTGTTCCCTTTAAAACCACCAAAAAAAACAGGTACCCTCAAAAACACACCCAAATAATGAATTGGACTTTCTGATGGGCGTTGGCTCGTTTTACATTCGAATCGGTGGAATTGCTTTGGCCGGTCGCATCCGACTCCAAGGTTGACCGTTTTCATTGGCTTGATTCTTCAGGAGGTGGAGGGGAAGTGCCAACCTGCCATGTGTCCTACAAAGAACACGTAGGTTGTCCGAGACATTCCTACAGTATCTGGGTGCAAAAGAATGCGGTTGATAGAATTTGATGGGCAACATCCTGCACCAGGCGGCAGGTGGTTTATCCAAATACTTGCAAATTTGCATCCTTAAGAGGTGCTGCAAGATGTTGTCCATAAACAGTAGCCCTGCGATCACACACGCACACACACACACACAACTGCACTGGAGCACCACACACATACGCACACTCACGCGGCCTTCTGCCGCCCATGTAGGGGCTCGTACGCCTACCGCGACGCCGCGACGCCCGGACGAGCGCACCGAGCCGCAAGTGGTCCATCCAGGCGCCCCTGTGGATCTGCAGACTGCATGGCTCCAAGAACTCGCTGGTCACTGGCAGCTGGATGTAGTCCTTGTAGCTGTAAACCACCTGCTCACAAGACAGTCGCGGCAACCCTCTTCAGGGGGCCGGGAAAGTTCCTGGGTTGGACTTGGGATCCCCAGTACTTAACTTAGTATTGCCAATTCTGCATTGCCAAGACTTGAAATCAGATTCCTCGATCGTACTGGGAAGAGCTTGCAGTGAACAACCCTTTACAAGCATTTTTTAACCTAAGAACTTTAGCCTCTGAGCTGGGAAGGACTTAGATAAGCCACCCTTTAAAAGTAAAAGGCACATAATTAGTATGTTTGATGTTCGGAATTCGGAAACCACTTTCTACAATCGTCCCTTTTGCAACAGCAGGTTCAATAATCGTGGGAACCTCCCAACATGCAATGCATCCACAAACTTTCGGGATAGCTGGGACCTGGGATGGGCCAAGCGAGCTTTTTAGCGACCAGACGGCGTATTGATTTGGCCATGGGTCAAAAGCTCGTACCCCCAATGAGCATCTTCAATCCCCACTAAAATAGGTTCTAAAATGGTTGGTGAATCCCATTCAACGAAAAGTTTTGACCGTGACCGCCATTTCTGGGTGCCCCGGCGCAATGGAAGCTCAGGTTCTGGTGCCTGAGCCAATCCAGGGAACTTCTCAGCTGCTGCGCGCGCTGGAAGTTCCGCAGGCCTGGGACCAGCACCACGAGCTCAGCGGAAGCGCCCTGCGTGTCGACCGCGGCCACCGCCGACACGGCACCTGCGAGGGAAAGGCTTGGGTGAGACCCGAGATTCTCTTTTTCCAATGAACCAGTAATAAAAGAAATGCAGAAAAAGAGGGGGCGGAACCCCAAAGGTACCCAACGTGTAGGGAGCCGTGCGAGCTAAAAACGATGTGTAAAGTGGAGAGTGGAAGGACAAGCACGGAAGGACACCAAGTACGCAAAAAGCAATGCGCAAATACTGGAGTTGCCTCGTCTCATGGAATCAAAACACGTGGTTGTATCCCAAACAGCCAGGAGGTAATCAGGATGGTGACCATACGCTTTTTGATTGCTTGGTTTAAAGAATAATCAATGATCGCAGTCATGAACAAATCATAACAATTCCACCCAAACTACAGATCACAGTACAAACCTTCGATATGTGGTTCGTCCATCTCGATAAGGCACGCTACAGCAAAATAACTTCCGAGGGTAGCAAAAGCACGCCTCCAAGGTAGAAAAACATAGCTCACCGTTTGTGCTTCTTTACTCCAATCAGGGAGAAACAGGTCTGTCTCCAAACGGGGAACCCCCTAAATGTGTCGCTGTAATTTTTGCAGTCCCTCTAAACAGGATCCCCAGAGGTAGCATCCTCCTAATGCAAGACGTGCGCAAACTGCTGTGCATCTTCCCCGCAAACATGGGGAAAAGGACAACTGGACAACCCCTAAGACGTGATTTTCTCTGAGGATTGTCAGCAGCAATTCGGTTCACCAAGCCAACCTCACGAAATCAACAACTCTTCCGATTGAAGGACGTTACCTTTCGCCTCATCATGTATCGATATCCGGCAAAGGCGTGAGATCCAGCAGTCAAACAACTTGTTTTCAGCTTCCATAAGCAGACCGGCCCAAGCGCACTCAACTTTGCCTGGACACAACCTTCAAGGATGTTCGCTCATTTCGAACGCGAGACCCATGAGCCGTAGCAATGCAGTCTGTCTCACGGGGACCCCGCCAGAGGTTGGTGTGAAAGGCTGCCTTCGAGCACCAAAAAGGGCACAGGGCAAGCTGCACTGAAAGGCTTCAAGTAGCCCAGATAAAAACCGACCAAGTCCAGCGCCTGTATATGGCAGACATGCAGCTATCGCTGCCAGGAAAAGCGCCATGCTGGCGACATCTCTCCCGGCTGCAGGTTTGAGCCGCACAGGGGAGAAACCTAACGCGAAACAACCCCTTGGAAGGGTCTTAGAACCTTCTTACAAGGGCTTAGAAGGGTTCTTTTCAAACATTTCTGGTGGGTATGGGGGGTCCCTAATGACCATCTCTAAACAAACCCTCCAAATGCCCCGCATATGAAAACAGAAAGCGCACAGGGGCCCCTGCAAAGGGTGATTTCCCCAACACGTTTTGTTTGGTACCAAGTTGATCTGCAAAGGAGTAAATGCAGGTGGTCTCCAACATGGAGATGAGTTCCTTTCAAAAGCTCATCTGAATCAACAGCCCGAAATATTCGAAGTTGCCATCACACAGTTTGTTGTGCGGCATTGGCTTTTGTGCTCAACCTCAGTGCCTGGGACAACACTCAGTATCCAACAATCACATACGTCATATGACAGTTAAGTGAGCACTTGTCATGCTAGCAAAGCCGCAGCCTACCAGCAAACCCGAGAGTTGTTTGCAGGCCCAGCCAAAACCTTCCATGAAAAGCGAACTCTTTGAGCAAGGGTCCAAACAGCCGTGAGCGAAATGATCGATCTGGATGTCTTGCAATGGCGTGGACAGTCGAGGCACTTCTGCAACCCATGGCATATACAAGCACACATAGAATGGATGTGCCATCAAGCAGGCAGCCTTGCAACTTCGGCCCTGGAAGCGGCATTCACTTTTGTTCAGTGGGGAGCTTGGTCAGGCCAACTAGCAGAAAGCAATATTTAGCCTGGCACAACCAAAGCGTGCCTGCTCTCATTAGGAATCTGCCTCCTGATGCAACTCAGAAACTGTCGGGATTTCCGTTGTGCCTCACACGCGTTCTAGCCCAGACCTGTCTTGGAAAAGAAGGGCGTCCTTTGTCGGGAAGGTGACTTTAAAGGGGAGCTCCTCCAACACAAAGACGTGAGTGTGATTTTGTGTGTGTGAGTGTGTTTGCTTTTGTGTGTACCCTTTTCAGGTGTGGCGGGAAGCTAAACACACGAATTTTGGGACACATACCCATGTCCAGCAGTTGAGGTCTGCGGCTACGGTATTAAAATGATCGCTCCCAGAGCACCACAATCTTCCATCCGGTCAGGGCTGGGCCAAGCCCTGCTTTAGACATCTTTAAACCACGCTTGCCTAAAACTAATCCATGCTCCCGTACAACCAACAGCCAATTCACCAACCCTTGGTTGAGTGTATGGCTTAAACCCTTCCTTTGGCTGTCGCAACAATGTTGCAAAACGTGGCCCCAACCTTGCCCGCCCCCAGCCCCTTCCAGAGCCAAGTCGCAAAGTCTGGGGGGATGACCAGATGAGTGGTGCCCACAGGAACGGTGCCTATCAGCCTCGCAAATTGGACAAAGCGTTGCCTTCCACCTTTTTTTGGAATTCCGAACCAGATGCATGGGTTGGAATGTCAACTTGTTGTCCATTCGGTCGCATCCGTGGATGCGTCATAGGCATCAATATCCACAAACTGTACGAAGGGAGTCAGTGCCAATATCATCTCCAGGCTTGGAACTGGCATCAAGAAAGAAATCTGCATTCGGGACTTCGCTTCCCAAAGTAGCTCCAAGCCAGCAATTTACACCTTGCACAACTTCCACGTTAGTTGACTCAGCCAAGACACTGTGGCTCTGCACTTGGGATGGATGAAACAACACAGTTGGGATACGCCTGGCGTGGATTTTGTCTACAGGTCAAGCCACTGTTTGATTATATGCCATCTGTTCAAGGCTATGGTTGTATAGAATGAAGCCAGGGGTGCACGCTGTGAGATGAACAAGAATTTGGGGCACGGTCATGGCTTCAGCAAAACTAATGTATGACATAAGATTCTGTCACTACGACTTATGCAATTTGTGCTATACGTTCTGTTACAAATGCGCACTGCATCTGATTGACGAATCCCAATAACTGGAACCATCTTATAGCCTAGCAAGTCTTCGTAGGTGGATGGCTCCAATCGCACCCGCGCGATCTTTCGATCTCTGCCCAGGCACTGACGACCACACAAGGGCAGGTTCGTCATCCGGAAGGACCTCGGCGGGTTCAAGCCATCCACCAGGCGGCGAAGGACTACATGTGGCTCTTGTGGTCCAATGGTGCGGATGGACGAAATCCATTTCGCACCACTTTGAACCGGGGAGTTTGTCCATCCACAGTAGTTTCAACAAGTTCCCGAATTATAGATTTGTGAGAATGCACAAGAGCATGCAAATGAACAAAGATGTTCTGCCTGCGCCTTGCTTATGGTAAAAGTCATCACCAAAACGGCTTGCCACACTCAATAGCATCGGCCACTTGCAGAATGAGGCATACAGTTTGTTGCACATGCTTCAAATTGAGAAACCTGAAGGTTCGGGGTTCGGGGTTCGAGGTTCCCGAATTCTTGGGGTTCGGGGTTCCACGCAAATATCCAAACTTTACATGTGGCTGCTGGAAAGGGTCTTGGTCCTGCAAGAGAGTGGGCGGGTAAGAGAGTTATTACGTGGGCTGCACGAAGGCGATGAAGCAAACCGAAACCTTTCTTGTCGCACGTTCTCTGCCCCGGAAACAAAATGAACCTTTCTCCGCTTGGCCGTTTGCAGAAGAGCATCCATCAAACAAGCGTCTTGCCCTTACCCACCCATAGATGCTTCAAGCCGCGATCCATTGCGAACCGTCCACGTCTCTGGCAGGACATCGACTATCCTGAGGTAGCACATTTCAACCGAAAACAAACAGGCTCCAGTTGCTCCTCAATTCCTGGATTGTAGTAATCCTGGTTTGTTGCTTCAAGAAAACAATTAACCCACAACAACTCCTCTGAAAAAATGAATAAACCCATACTACCCCACTTAATTACTCGTCAATATTCCGTAATCAAAATAAAAAAACTCGAAAAATCCAGGTTCAACACATCGAGTTTGGGGTGCGGCTGGTTGGGAAGGCTCCCCGTCCAATGGAATATCTTTGGCCAACAAAGCACTTCCATGGGTTGAAAGTCGATGTTGTACAAGAACACAACATGTTTTGCCTGCTACATGTTTGCGCATGCCCCAACCATTCCGCCAGCAGTTGACATTTCGACCATTCCGTATCCTGCGACTGGCCACTGCTTTTGCGAGAGCCAGACAAATGCTTGCGAGCTGAACTGTTGCCCCTCAATATGTTTGGCTTCCTTTTGAATTTTGAACCCCCTAAACAGGGTACGAACTCCCAAAACGACACACCCAAGTATGCGAACATATATGCGAACACAAGGTCAAAGGTTGGGTGTCAACTAGTCAAAAATTATCCCACCGGCCAAATGTTCTCACCTGGCAAAACTCAGCCGCCTGGGCCGAGGCTTTCGAGTTTGTGGGGAAATTCAGAACTCATCCTCCATGTTCCGAGCCCCATCGGGATAGGCTGGCAATGTTGACCGGACTGGCATGATTCACACTTGGTGCGCAATCTGGCTTCACCCACATGCGATGTAGTTGTGTGGGTCCGCAGTTTGACCCCCGGCTCCGGTCGCCAGAAGTGCCATTTTTCAGGGCACCTTGTCCGTGCCGTGGTTGTTTAGGTGTACAGGGACACCAATGTTAAAACATAGACTTCAACCTAGTTTGACAGGGCTCCCTATATACTTCTTCAAGACGCCACCCCAAAGAAAATTTACCTTGAGACCCACATCGTCGCTGATGTGCTTTAGGAACCCGTCGAGTAGCCTGTGACTCAATCAAATCGCCATCCTGCCCAATGACAGGATGGTCGGGATGCACCCTATAGTTGCTGGGCAATCTGCCCTTGAATGTATTCAACTTCACATTTGTGAACCATGGTCTTGGTAGGAGACCAGGTCTGGCTTGAAAGTAGCCTAGCAATCGTGGGCTG